TCTAGATCAGCCCTGGGCCGCAGCATGCCAGCAACTGGGCCACACAAACAAGTGAAGCCCCATCCACAGGATTCAGGCAGCATGCAAGAGCCACAGTGGCGCAGTGGTTAGAGTGCAGTACTGCAGGCTACTTCTGCTGACTGCCAGTTGCCTGCAATTTGGCAGTTCGAATCTCATCAGGCTCAAGGTTGACTCAGCCTTCCATCCTTCTGAGGTTGGTAAAATGAGGACCCAGATTGTTGGGGGTAATATGCTGACTCTGTAAACCTCTTAGAGAGGGCTATAAAGCACTGTGAAGTGGTATATAAGTCTAAGTGCTATTGATAAAACCATGCTCTCTCCAGTCCACGGAAAAACCTTTCTCCATGGAACCAGTCCCTGGTGCTCAAAAGGTTGGAGGCTGCTGGGCGAGAGAATAGAGTAGAGTAGAGTAGAGTAGAGTAGAGTAGAGTAGAGTAGAGTAGAATAGAATAGAATAGAATAGAATAGAATAGAATAGAATAGAATAGAATAGAATAGAATAGAATAGAATTTTTTATTGGCCAAGTGTGATTGGGCACAAAAATAATTTGTCTTGGTGCATATGCTCTCGGTGTACATAAAAGAAAGAAAAGATACATTCATCAAGAATCATAGAGCACTCCATGAAGAAGTATCAACATTTTGATAAATTTATGCCAAGAGCCCATTATTTCATAATCTTATACTAAATTATGATTTTTCAACGAAGCTGTATTATCAAATACAGGAAAAAAGGTAAAGTACAGGTGATCCTCGACGTACTACCACATTTGAGCCAACCTTTCTGTTGCTAAGTGAGACATGGGTTAAGTGAATTTTGCCCCAATTTACGACCTTTCTTGCCACCGTTGTTAAGTCAATCGCTGCAGTTGTTAAACTAGTAACATGATTGTTAAGCAAATCTGGATTGCCCGTTGACTTTTGCTTGTCAGAAGGCGGCAAAAGGGGATCACATGACCTCGAGACACAGCAACCGTCATAAATATGAGTCAGTTGTCGAGGGTGTCCGAATTTTGATCATGTGACCATGGGGATGCTGCAACGGTTGTAAGTGAGAAAAACAGTCATAACTCATTTCTTTCAGAGCTGTTGTAACTTTGAATGCTCACTAAATGAACTGTTGTAAGGTGAGGATTACCTGCATATGACTGAAGTATAGGTACAAAAAAGCAGCAATCTGCAGCCTGTAAGAATAGCTTGCCCTCACATGTATCCCAACTGGCTCCTACAGACAATCTGTTATTCTCTTCATTCTTACCATTCCATTGCCTCAGCCATGTTCCTTATCATTTCCCCCTTTCCACCTTATACAGTATGAATTTAAGAGAAGATTGGGCAGCCATTTCTCCAGAATGGTATAGGGCAGGGGTGCCAAACTCAATTTCATTGAGGGATGCATCAAGGTTGTGTTTGACTTCGGAGGGCCAGGGTGGGTGTTGCCAGCTCAACGTCACTCGTGTCGGGGGCGCCTGTGGCGGCCCGAGAGCTCTGCCAGCAAAATTGGGCTCCTAAGCTCCATTTTTCACTGTGATGGCTTCCTGCAACCCTCTGCCAGCAAAAATGGAGCTCGGGATGGCCACCCTCGTGAACCCTCGACAGTGTCCTGCAACATTCCGCCAGCAAAAATGGAGAAGGGTGGCCCTCCCGAGCTCCATTTTCGCTGACAGAGGCACCACAGGCTGGTCCTTTGCTGTTTCCAGGGTGGCCCTGCAGGCTGGAACTGGCTCCTGGGCCTTGAGTTTGACATCCCTGGTATAGGGTCTCCTGTTTGAGAAGTGGGTTGGACTAGAAAACCTCTAAGGTCCTTCCCAACTCTATTATTCTGTACCAATTTCTGAGCTTCCATTAATTTTCTTTCTAATATTTGTCCCAACCCTCTATACTCCTCTACCTATGCATGTTGGGCATCTGTCTCCATGCAGGTCTGGAAAGAGAAATGGAAAGTTTGTTTGTGTGTGTGTGAGAGAGAGAAAGAGAGCATAAGAGATAGGGATAGATGTATACACACTTATGGCAGTGTGTAATATGGAGTACATGCATATAAATGTTTAGGCAAACAAATACTCAATAATTTCACTTGTTTTGGACATTGTCCCACCTGCTTTGAGAATGTGGGATCAAACGAAGAAACTGACCAAAGATATATCTAGCCAATATGTTGTGGCCCGCCAGCGGTCTGCACAGATTGTTGCTGATCCCGACAACGAGGAGGCTGGTGTGGTACTGCACCAGCAGCCTGTGCAGCCTGTGCTCAAATTGGACAGCGAGGAGGCTGAAGAAGATGTGGTGCCAGAGGCAGGGATTCAGTCAGGGCCTTCAGAACTTCCAGAGGCCCCTTTAAGTGAAGACGATGAAGAGGAGGAGCTTCTTCTCAATGCACGGGCACGCAGAGCTGCCAAAAGGCAGGACTGGTTCCTCAGGAGGAGGTCTCCCCGAGAGTAAGGCTTGGGGCTAATTGGCCACTCCCTTAGACTATTTATTTATTAATTTTATTATTCATATTTCTATGCCGCCCACTCTCCGAGGACTCTCATATTTAAGAAAGTATGTAGCTTGTAACAAGCTGCAGGAAACAACTTTAGTTCGCTAATCATCGTGTTGGCATGTCTCTGCAACCTTGCTTCTGGGCTTTCTGCCAACTCCAGTAAGACTCTGAATATTTTATCTGTGGAATTCTGGCAGGCTGTTAAGAATGCTTTGTTAACAGCCGGCATTTGCTAAAACTGCGTTATTTGAGTAAACTAAGTTTTGTTCAGAGTTTGTGTATGCTGTGTTCTTTGGGATCCATAGCTGGGGCAGAACACAATAGATATATCTAGACGAAAAATATATCTAGCCAACAGAAGAGAGCATTTATAGCTCAGGATTGAACTGTATGGCCCTTAATGCTCTCTGAGCTTGATTGCTTTCTTGCAGACATTAACTCTCTGTTGCATGGAAATTCTCTCTAGGAGCCATCTCTTCATCACCATAGGAAAGAAGCTTCCTAGATTTGAAGCAGTTGGAAACAGCAGAGAAAGACTAGTTTGCTAGGAGAGCAGGTGGGCAGGCAGGTGCCACAGGAAGATGTTACAGAGCAACAGGGGTTGGCAGGTGCTACAGATAGGTAAAAAATCAGCAGGAGTGGGACTGACTTGTGACCACATTGATTTTATGGAAAGCTGGCAGGGAGAGTCACAAATGATGATCGTATGTCCGCCAGATTCTGTAACCATCGCAACTGTAAGTGCATAAATCACATGATCATGGGAACCTTGTGACAGTCACAACTTTGCAAACTGGTCATAAGTCCTCCTTGTTTTGTGCCATTATAACTATGAATGAATGGTCAAAACCCGAGGACTACTTGTAATTTATCTGGGTATGTTTTCTTTCCGGACTACCTTATAGAACTGATCACAGGTCTCTTTGGATTCCCACATGGCAACAAAGGCAAAAAATGCATTTGCGAATTACATCTAATGCATCAAATCCAGTCTTTCCTGAGTGTATCTGGCACCACTTATGTGTCTTCATTAAGGAGCGTGATAGCTCAGTGGTTAAAGACGCTGAGTTTGTCAGCTGGACAATTGACAGCCCAGGTTAGAGACTCAGGTGCCATGCAATGGAATGAGCTCCTGTTCTTGCTTCAGCTCCTGCCCACCTAGCAGTTTGAAAGCATGGTAATGGGAGTAGATAAATAGGTACCACTTTGGTGGGAAGGTAACAGTGTTCCGTGTGCCTCGGTGTTGGCCACATGACCAAAGAAATGTATTTGGACAATGCTGGCTCCCTCAGCTAAGAAACAGAGATGAGCATCACACCATAGAGTCAGACATGACTGAACAGGGGAAGCACCTGGAAGATTAAAGTAGTGCAGAAGGTATCAGAAAAGCTGATTACCAGTGGTTGAGATTCTGAGCATACACCCTACTAAAAGATCCAGATGAATCCAGATGCCAGCTGTTGTTTGAGTACCATTGAAGGGGCTGATTTTATGTTTTAAAGCCTGAGACACCACATTTATAGGAATTTGTCTAGATGTTAAGATAAAAGAGTAAGACTCTTAATCAAGCTTTCACTTCTCAAGATCTTTGTCTACCTACGTCTATGCTGGTATGAGAACGCACAATTTATCAAATACACTGATCCCAGAACCATTTACAACCTGTTTTTATTGTAAAAACACTGCCATTGTTTGCCTTAGCAGAAGGTTATTAAATGCTGACATTAAAAGTAGTCCCAGTTCCCCCAAATTATTATATATTCACAGGGCTATGAAGGGCTAAAATACTGTATAGAGTAGGATTGCCCATACTTCAAAGAAAAAAAAAAAACATGGTTTCTAGCATGTAAATTGTATGCATTCTTTGAACTAGCTAAGCTTATCTGAAAGAGTGTCATCTTGTAACAAGAGATCTGAATGTGCTTGATTGCTATTGATTCATAAATACAAGTATCCCAATTCTCTAGCTAGCAGCTACTCTAACTTGTGAACTTCTACCCTGAAGGTTTGTGAAAAAAACTTTCATTGTTATTTTCATTATAACTTTGTCACACATCGTTTCAAAATTCTTTCCCAAGTGTCTGGGGCGGGAGGGGGGAAGAAATGAAAAGAAATTGTGCCCATGTCCTTTTACCCATAGGGAAGTTCTCAGGACAGAATCTTATAAAAGGTTTGTATAGGTCAAAACAAGTAGCTCAGGCTATGGATTCCGGTTTTGTGTTGGATCAGTCCTTGGGGATTCCCCTGACAACGTGTGATGTTTGAACTGGCCAAAACAGAAGGATGAAATGTCAGAGGATATGGCACAAACCACTGGAGTAGCACCATTACAAGCATCAGCAGAAATGTTTTGGACATAAGAGGGAATTGCTTTGTATTAGAAACGTTAGAGGAAAAAAAAATGTAACGAAAGATTGTGACTCACTGTTTTTTAGCTTCCTGCTTCTTTGCTCACAGCTGCAGACACATTTTTATATTTCTGCAAGAAACTTACCCCATCTGGTCGGCCATCTGAGGCTGTAACAATCAAAATGTAGCGATCGGTGCTTTCTCGGTCTAAAGGCTTTCCTAAGGCTAGCAGCCCGGATCTAGCGATAAAATAAATATGTATGTTACAACAAAGTATGGCTCTTAAAGAGTGACAAGCTTATTTATATGCAAGGGGCTTTGATTTGCATTAGCAAACATTACTCTTTTAGAATGGACTTTGGGGGAGGATTTTTCTGTGGCATAAGGTTGTTTTTTGAGATTTAGTAACTGCATATGATATATAGAGATATAGAGATATAGATACTGTATATAGATATAGATATTTCTCTCTCTGGGCACACTGAGAATATATCTGCTGAACAAAACTCCACATTGGCAACAGGAAAGGCATCCGGCCACTAAAACACTCTGCTACCTCCATTCAGTTGCCCAGACTCCACCCTGCAAGGGATTATCGGGTCATTAAAAAATAATGATTAGATAGATAGATAGATAGATAGATAGATAGATAGATAGATAGATAGAGATAGAGATAGAGATAGAGATAGAGATAGAGATAGAGATAGATATATTTGTTTTCTGAGGTTTTCGCGGGTGTTTGTATGTAGGTCTTTGGTTATTCGGGTTTTCTCCCGCGTAAAATTGGAGGTTTCTTGGCAACATTTCGACGAAGTCTCATTCGTCATCTTTAGGCTGGTGTCTTCGGCTTCGTGCTTCTAGGAGCAATGGAGCACATTGCACATTCATGGAGCACATTGCTCCTAGAAGCACGAAGCCGAAGACACCAGCCTGAAGATGATGAATGAGACTTCGTCGAAACGTTGCCAAGAAACCTCCAATTTTACGCGGGAGAAAACCCGAATAACAAAAGACCTACATATATATATATATATATATATATTTCTTACTTCTTCATAGGGTTTATGTGTGTTTTTCTTCTAGCCAGATTTTGGTTACGTAGGGAAAACCTGACTAGAAGAAAAACATATATATATATATATGTGTGTGTGTGTGTGTGTGTGTGTGTGTAAAATCTGTGTCTGTGTGTACACACACACACACAGAGTTTAGGATTTGAAGATTTTGCAATATATGGTTATACTAGTAGTCCCAGCATGAACACAATCCTGTTGCTCTCATGCCCCTAAAAATCAGATTATTTCAATGCAATTGTGATAAAATGACAGATCCAGATTTGGACCCTGGTACAGAGGTGCTCTTGTTGGGAGTGTTGCCTACAAATAACAGCTGTGTGATCTTTTTTTTCCTGCACAAGGGCTTCTTCATTATTGTGCTCTTGCTGTAGAAACCTCTACCTTTGACAATGTGTCAGGCTATTTAAGCAGTAGTTCTTCCCCCTGGATTTTGCCTCCATTTGCTCTAAGGGCAGTTAGGTTTTAGTTCATTCTAGTGTTTATTTTTGTGAATTCCGACGGAAGACCTGGATGACAAGGGGCATATCTTAAATAAATAATACTACTGTATATGCTCTAGTTCTCTTCTGTTCTCCCAGACTTCTCCTTTTCTCACCAAGTACTTTTACCCCATAAGAATAAATAAACAAACAGGAATAAATAAATAAGTTGAAGTAGAGTTAAGAATTTATGGATATCACTGTGTTTGAAACTGAATTTCTCCTACTAGGTTTGTTTAAAACAGGTGCAAGAAATTCAGTTTACAAGTATATCTCTAGGTGTTGCTGAAATACAATTTCCAACATTTTCAGCCAATGTAGGTACAGTAGTATTTTGGTACTCATCATGAATTGGTTCTCAGAGGTGTGATGAGTACTATGTGTACCAAATAAATTTTTCACATAAGAAATAATGTAGTGAGTGTTCTATCCCCGTCCCCCCCCACACACAAACAGCCAGCCGGGGGTTAAAGAATTACTTGGCACACACAAGGTTTGTTATCAGGAACTTGGCAGCAATACGATAACCGTCTGCCAAGTGCTTTACTTCAAGAAGAGGGAGTTTTCCTCCACCAGATAAACACCAACAAATACACACAGTTTTCAAAAACAGTCCAGCTCAAACAGAAACCTTCAGCAGATTCAGGCATTGTACAAAGTGACTAGCCAGAAGTTAGCTTTGTCCATCACAGAGTCTAAATGGCCACCACACTCTCTTATATAGCCTGTGGGGTATGGTCCAGTGACTCAGCTTAATCCCTGGCACGCCTCCTCATCTGCTGCAAACGTTTATCTCGCCTTCATTGGCGTGGATCCAGGAATGACGTATCACCGTCATTGCTGTCATCGGAGACACCTGGCTCCTGGCCAATCTCCTCTCCCTTGGCAGACGCCTGAGGCATAGCCAGAGAGGAGGGGCCTGGAGAGGGAGGCCTGGCCGGCTCCTCTCCTTCATGTTCGGAGCCTTCTCCCTCCGATAAAATGGGCTCGGGGGTCGGAGCCACAACACTGAGTCACGAGGCAACAAGCAAGTACCAAACAAGCGATGAGTACAGAGACAAATTTTTCACTTCAAAATGCATTGAGTACCAAATTCAATGAGTTTCAAAGTAGTTGAATACCATGGTACCACTGTAATGGAAAGAGTTGCCGAGAGCCTTGTTCAATAATGCCTGGAAGCTTGAGATTCCCTGCCCCTTATTTGAAGTATGGAATGGAACATTAATAAAGAAAAATGGTTCATGTTGTACTGAATTAAAAATTGAGATGAGGTACAGTAGTGGCCAAAATTGTGGAAACCTTTTTTTGGAAAAGTGTATTTTCTAAAACTAGCTAATAACCCTAATTAGCGCTAGCTAAGTTAATTTAATCAAGAATGTAATGCAATAATTTTTATGAAGGATTTGCTATTAGAATAACAGTTACGGTATAAAGAAGAAAAGTGAAACACATAGAAAAAATGAGATATACAAAAATGATCACGTCAGTTAATAGTTGGGTCACCTTTAGCATGAATTACGGCCTTACAACATCTTCCCGTGGTGTGACCCAAGTCTTTTAGTTCTGCAGCTGTTATAACGTGAAACCAAGATTGAAGGATTGCTTCTATTAACTGGGTTTTATTGCTGGGTCACTTCTGACTTAACAAGTTTCTTTAGTCGGCTCCATAGATTTTTAATTGGGTTAAGGTCTGGGCTATTCCCAGGCCATTCCAGCAGTGGAGTATGATTATCTTAAAACTCCCCCAAAAAAGTAGTGTTATTAGCCATCAAGCTTCAAAAATACACTTTTCCCAAAAGTTTTCCACAATTTTGGTCACTACTGTAGAGCAGGGGTGTCAAACTCAAGGCTCATGGGCAGGATCTGGCCTGTAGGATGCTTAGATCTGGCCCGTGAGGCTGTCCTGGAAACAGCAAAGGACTGGTCCACGGTGCCTTTGCCAGCAAAATTGGAACTTAGGAGGGCCGCATGTGGAGGAGGCTGTTGCAGTTGAAATGAAACTTGGGAACCCATTGGCAGAGTGCTCGGGCCACCACAGGTGCCCCCGACATGAGTGATGTTGAGCAGGCCATGCCCATTCCAGCTACACCCTCCACAACCCCCTAAGGTGAAACAGAACCCTGATGTGGCCCTCCAGGAAATTGAGTTTGACACCCCTGAGGTAGAGAGTAGAGAAGATGTTCTTAGCAGAGATAGGCCGACAAAGTGGCAAGAAAACAACCTGGCTTAATTTCAAAACAAGATGAAGGCATGCACAACAGACCACAATTCACCTGAGTATAAGGGGGTGAGTGGGAGGGAGTGGGGATAAAGCATAGTTCTGTGGAGTTGATTTCTTGGTTTGATGTACATGGTGGTACTGACAGATAAATACCCAAGAGACTGAGGGGGGAGGGGAGGAACCCTTGTGTGGTCTCAGAGCTACTTCTACATTTATTTATGCCAAATGATCAGGACATTAAATTGTTCCAGTTATCCCAGAAAACAAAACAAAACAGTAGCTGTAAGCATCAAAAAAGTAAACATAATAGTGGCTTCCAGGGGAGGCAGGTGTTTATCCGAAAATGTAGTTGCTACTTTGTTCATAAACAGAATTTATCTGCCTAACATCAATTGAAGATGAAGAGAAGTAGGGAACAAAATCTAGTAAATAAGCATCAAATAAACAGAGAAAGAAAATAAAACAGAAAAAGGATGCAATAATAAATGCTGAATTTTATTATTAAATTTATAACTTTTTCCTCAATACAATAGAAGAGAATCCCTGCCCCAAATTAATATGATTAAAATCAAATTCAATCATTAAGAAGAAATTGAATGGAGTAACAATGTATAATGTACAAGGTGGATGGGATATTTGGAAATTGACTTCCATGCAGACTTCTAGACAGCTATAATAAAAAGAAAATTAAGATTGTCTAAGGAATTAATAGATGTGTGTTTGTGTAATGTGGAGCAGTCAGACAGTGGAAGCCTAAGAAAATAAACATTTTGAATAATTTAAAGGAAACTTCTTCGACCGAAGAACTCTAAAGATGATAAAATCATTATATGTAAGTTACTACTCCCATACTAACTTGTTTATAAATTTGTAGTATTTGATGAACTGCCATTCCTGTAAAGTCAACTGAATTAAGTCTATCACATTAAAATCAACCAGAAATCTAATTTTCAGTTGTATACTTGAGGCACCATACATATGGCCACATGCATGAGAATAATCCCTAGTGAATTCAATTGAACTTCTGAATAATAATGCATTTGGCTGAATTACAATACCACAGTTAATTTATAAAAGAACTAACTGAGAAGATTTTTGGCAGACCAAGTATTACATTTAGTTCCCTGCTGTTGAAATGAAAATGCTGAGAAGAATTTCTTTATGTCTCTTGTTATAGCATAGGAGTATAATTCAACTGAGCCAGTGAAGAATTAGAATAGGATAAATTGAGTATTTGTTCATACAGAAGTTCTTGTATTTGTGAGCATGTTATAGAGAAGAATAATATGGGAATGACATTTTTATGTCATTTTTATTTGTTCAAATGTTCGACTTTTATCCTGATCCTTTCCAAGCTAAAAAACAGTATTCACAAATAACTGGGTGAAGTATGTGTGTGCTTTGGCAGAACAAAGGAGCTCAAATCCTTGAAGAGCAAAATGCAGGAAATAATAGGCTACATTAACATTATAGGACTACAGACTGAACACTTGACTAGTCACAACTGAGAATGTAAGGGCCTTTCTCCACTTGCATGGTAACAATATTTAAAGATCCTCTGATATGTTCCATTATGTTGCTTTCATCTTGTCCACAACCTTTGAGTGAGGTTGCCATAAGTTACAGTTAGCTGCACTGCTGTTAACATAGCATTTTGCCCATAATAATAAAAAAAAATAATGTTCAGCCTTCCGAGATTTATAGCATTTTCTAAGCTTGCTGGTAGAGGTAGTCAGAGGACCTATTGATAGAGAGCTATGGATGATATTTCAAGCTAGGGCAGATATGCTCTATCTATCTGACACCTGAACAGTAATGGCTAACCTTTTTGCCATCGCGTGTCAGGAAGGGGGGGCAGCAGAGGTTTGTGCACATGCGTGCCTGCACCCATAATTCTATGCGCCCCACCCCACGCATGTGCGTGCAACCCCCCTTCTCCCCGCTCCTGGCACGCGATGGCTTGGTAGGCCCATTTTTCTTTCTCACCTGGCTTCAGATCCTCTCTATGCATCTGGGGAGGTCAAAAACAGCCTTCTCCACCCCCTCAGAGCCCTGGCCTCTGAGGGGGTGGGGAAGGCTGTTTTCGCCCTCCCCAGATGCATAGAGAGGATCTGGAGCCTGGTGAGAAAGAAAAACAGGCTTTCCCCACCACCCCCAGGCCCTCTGGAGGCAGGAAACAGCTTCCCTTCTTCTGGTGGGCCTAGAAGGCCTGAAAATCAGCTGGCCGGTGCATGCATGCACGCTAGAGCTGAGCTGGCATGCCAGGCGAAATGGCTTGGCGTGCCACCTGTGGCACGCGTGCCATAGGTTCGCCATCATGGCCCCTGAAGATTCTTCACTTCTGCCATTCTTTATTTCATCATCCTCACTAAGAGCAAGGAAGCAGGCTTGGAGTTCTTGGAAAGAGTTAACTTTTCTAAGAATATGTGGTAGAGAAAGAGCCAGGGCCGATCACCTTGGCCAAAAAGTTGATTTCTGACCATCACTTGAAAGCCATGTAGAAATCCAGAAAAGGGGTGGAATTTATTCAGTAGCCTGGAAAGGATAATGTAGAGCTTGCACAAATTAATAAATATGCAAGAGTTCTAGTAATGTCAAGCAGATGCCTTCGTTACCCTTGCAATTCAACAAATGTTATTTGGAACTCTAAATATTTGTCTCACTGCAATCGAAAATTAGGGCTATCAAAACCATGTTGTAAAAGTATGGTGACTACTTGGATAGTAGCGAAGAGTTTGAATTCTCTATATCCATGTAATAAGTTACTTGATAGCAGTCAAAATCTAGAAGCCATACTGTAAATCCCTATGACTCTCTTTTCTTCCTAGCACAAAATAAATGTCAGATGTCACGGTTAAATATCAAGCCTCTTCCTATGACACTTTCTATGTTGGTGGATTCTTTTTGCAAGCTAGTAACTATCAGAAGAGGGGAGGTCAGGAAAGTCAGAGGAGTCATCCAACTGTATGAAAAAAAGAGCACAACACACAACACTGCTTTTCATCACCAAGGAAGAATGGAACCCACAAAGAAGACAGGGATTGGCAGTAAGGGCCACATTCTTTTCTGTTAGTATACTTTCTATCATTTGGTGGATGGTGGGATTGCATTTTAACCGAATCATGAGCAAAGAAAAACCAAGTTTTTCCTGCTATTTCTTACAAACCTTCTGGCTCTGACTGAAATCCAAGATTCTTATGTGGCTGTAAAACTGTGTATGCTGCAAAAGAGGTGTGAAAGATGTGAACTTTGAGATAATGGGATGATGGCTCTGAGTTGGTGTTGGGATAACCTGTGGTTCACTGCATTATGAGTTCAGTCAATGTCTTGCTGGGTTCCTGACCTCCCAAGGCATGAATTGTCCTCTTTTCTATTGACAGAGTATCCATTTTGATAGAACATTCTGTTGATGCTCCTGAGAAATTCTGAAAGCAAGCCACCCTGCCAGCATAGCAGACAGAGTGGTCTCTATGCTGCATTTTCAGATCGTTTTCCTACTTTTTGTTTTGTCTGAACAGTAACACACACACACACACACACACAGAGAGAGAGAGAGGGAGAGGGAGAGGGAGAGACAGACAGAGAGAGGGAGAGACAGACAGAGAGAAGGAGAGACAGACAGACAGACAAAGACAGAGACAGAGACAGAGACAGAGACAGAGACAGAGACAAAACAAATGCTGTACTGGGAATATAACAAAACAGTGTTTCAAGGGAAGTAAATTTCTTTGTTAACTTCTGCTGATGTTGGGAATCAGAATGGTTATAGGCAGCTTTGTTGCACTGTGAGTCAGCTAAACACTTATCCAGACATACTGGATAAATTCAGGACACAGAATGGCTACAGACACATACACACACGCGCGAAAGAGATTTCAATTTTTTTGCACTACATATGAGATGGAGTTGTGCTTTCCCATTTTACTAAACCCTGTCTGTAGAAAACCTTTAAAAAATTACACAAATAGAGTAGCTACACCTGATTTTCTAAGAGTCATCCTAAATTTCCATCAGGTTTGCCCTTTCTAAAATGGAAGTGTGAATCAGTGCTGAATCTTTCCATAAGAAGCCTTGTTAAAGTGTAGAACTATGAATTTTAGCCAAAGTTGATTAGGTCAGCTTCATTTCAATAATCTTCAAGAAACAGCTCTAATATTCATCACTTCTTGTATTCCTTACTTTCAATGAGATTTGGTTCTAAATATACATCCCAGTCCATAATAGTGCATTTCAATCTAATGCAAAATTAGATGTTGTATATGACTTCCAAAATTATAACCATGACAGTTCTTAAATGTCCAATTACATTCCACAAGAATTAAAATTTTCAGTCTTTGATATGTTGTTCCCTAAGCAGAAAGTAAATCACCTAAAGAAAGCTGGTTCTGCATTAACAAAATTACAATTTTGCAATTACAATTTAAAAGAAATTACCACATCATCCTCAGATTTAGTCTTTATCCTGCTTTCGCAGTACTCAAGTATTGAAGAACTAGTCATTTTTTTGTTTTAGTACAAGTGTTGAGTTCTGCAAACACAATCATTAAGCTTCAAATTTACTTTTTTTTTTTAAAAAAAATACAGTTTTCCTTCCTTCCTAATATTCAGACAAGTAATAGCTTCGCAAATGACAGATTCTAAAAAAAAAAAAAAAAGGATTTTTCACTCTTTCTAGTACATGCAAAAAGTACAAACCTTTCAGTTTTCTATGGCTTTTCATTAATGTGGCATTAATTTAGGAGGAAAGCTAAAAGCTTCCTCCGTGGTAATGTCTGGAATATCTGGGGTTGAATTAAAACAATAGTCCCAAAAGGTCTTTCTTATTAAAGCACATTTCATTTTTAAGACTAGAATTAGCAAGTTTTTTTTTTTTTAAGTCACTGTCATTAGCAGAAAACCTGGCAAATCTAAAGGCTTCTAATTAATCCCAGGTTGTTTCAATAATGGAAGTTTCCATCTCAGTAGGTTTTTACCCAATCAAACATTTATAATAAATAAATGGTCTCAGATGTACAATTTTAAAGTTTAGCACCATTTACAAGGCTGCTATTAAATATTAGAGAGAGCTCAGCTTCAAACAGCTGAATACTTATGATTGGAAATTTATTTGCACACAATCTGCTGTTTAAATTGGTCTGAGAAGTTAGAAGTATGTGCTGTAATCCTACAATTACATAGATGGAAGTGAGTCCCAATGGTACGTTCTTTTGCGAATCTGAATAAGCTTGCACGGAAAACAGAGATGAAAATAGATGTGTTTTGAAGCCTATCATAAAGATATGTCATTGATTCAAAGAGTTTGCAAGTCTGTCAACCGTCTAGCTATATATTACTACATTGCAATTATTATAAGGCAAAGTAAAATTATTGTAATGTAGATTATTCTGATTTCTAGCTCTTAATTAATGTCTGGGTGGGTAGACCTAACTTAGTCATGACCATGAAAATTACTTTAAATTCATAGAGGTTATTATCACTATACACATTTTCAACAGTAAACAGATATATAAGTATATTTGTACCAGGGGTGGCCTCTACTTACCTTTACTACCGGTTCGCAATGGGATCTGGGGCATGCGCAGATTGCCTATGATGACATCCGGGGCAGTGGGCGGAGCCTCCTGCCAGTTTTACTACCGGTTCTTGTAAACCGGTCCGAATCGGGGGCAACCCACCACTGATTTGTACATGTTGTATAGCAGATTAGAGAGCCAGTTTGGTGTAGTGGTTAATGCAGGTGTGTCAAACTTGTGTCATCACGTGACGTATCAGAACTTTTCCCCCCTTCACTAAACTGGGCATGGGTGTGGCCAGTGTGTGAAGTATCTGGTTCGTGGCCCATGAGTTTGACAACTCTGGGTTAAGGCATCAGGCTAGAAAGAGGAAGACCGTGAGTTCTAGTGCTGCCTTGAGAACAAAGCCAGCTGGGTGACTTTGGGCCAGTCACTTTCTCTCAGCCCTAGCAAGGGCTGGCAAGGGCAAACCACTTCTGAAAAAAAGAAACCTTGCAAGAAAACTGCAGGATTCATCCAAGCAGTCTCCAAGAATCAGACATGATTGAATTGAAGAGAGAGAGGGGGGGAGGGAGGGAGGGAGGGAGAGAGAGAGAGAGAGGGAGAGGGAGAGGGAGAGGGAGAGGGAGAGGGAGAGGGAGAGAGAGAGAGAGAGAGAGAGAGAGAGAGAGAGAGAGAAGCGGATTAACTAAAATCAATTTGTTCATTCATTGCCATTCAAAAGAAAAAAAATTGACTTACGTTTCAGAAAGATTAAATACATGTTGGGGGTCTCCATTTTGTATGAGGTATTTTATAGGGTCACCTTCTCGATCAGTTGCCTTAAAAACACCAACACCAACACCAAGAAGTCGCATATTAGACTTAATTTCTTTTTATTAGTATTTTTTTTTAAAAAAATAAAAGCTGAATAGTGATGGACAACACATTTGAAATGCTAATCAGCTCATAACAGTTTAATATTTGACAGCTTTAACTCTCAACAGGCTGATCATTATGTTGTTTATCCCCTCTGGAGAATGGCTGCATTTTGGCTGCATGAGAATATGCTGTGATAAGAATGATAATTGCCTATTGGAATTTCACAAAATTAAAATATTTGCATACTTAAGATTTAGTCAACAATGAGATTATTTTTTTTTAAAGGCCCTTTAAAAGAATATAGGCAGTATATTCTTCACATTATTCTCAGAATGATGCCGAAGGGAATATTTTTGACTGACTTTTTTAACAAACTAGTAAAATAAATGATAGCAATGTTTATTTAAATCATGCATTATTTGTATGCTTCTTAAAATATACAGTACAAAAGTCCTACAGAGCAACAGATGGTTAGAAAAAAAAATAGTGATTAGATAATACCATTAATTAAGCAAGATAATGACAAACTGTATCTGTTTAATAATAGAAAACACATTCCAGTCAAAATTAAGCATATTAAAGTACCATTGGCATGGAAATCTAATAAGTGTCAACTCTCAAATAAAATCCTCTGAATTCAATGTGACAAATAGAGGAGCACAGCTTTGAAATTACTGATTTTAGCCAGATTCTGCTTGCAGTGTTTGTAAACATAATCTAAATGTGCTTTGGTGTAACATCAGTCATACGAACAAATAACCTAAGCAAAGAACATTTTTATTCCAAATTTCCAAGCATATCATCATTAAAAGAGCCTTGGTAGTACAGTGGTCTAAGGCACCCTGTTATTAAGCTGGTTATTAAGACCAGCTGCCTGTAATTACTGCAGGTTCGAATCTCGCCAAGGCTCAAGGTTGACTCAGCCTTCCATCCTTTCTAAGGTAGATAAATTGAGGACCCAGTTGTGGGGGCAATAAGCTGACTTTGTATAAATATACAAAAGGATGAAGGCTATTGCTGAGCACATTGTAAGCCGCCCTGAGTCTCTGGAGAAGGGCGGCATATAAATCAAATTAAAAAAACAACAACACTGGATTCAAATTTTTCTTGAACATTATTCTTGATCCCATCACACTAGCCTGTCCCATCCAGTCAGAGTGGTAAGGTATGTTGCTGACCCCATCAGTTAAAGAACTTCAACTGGTTTAGGGAGGACAGTCTAGATCTAGGAAGAGAATGAAATGGGTCTACAGAAGAATCTTCCCTGGGAGGTGAGGCAGACTCCACTCTCCTCACCTTCCAAAAGAAGTTAAACATGATTCTGCAGCCTTGTGTGGTAGCCCAAAGATGCACAGTCATGGGGTTGGTTGGTGCTATGAGAGCCTTCCTTCTGCCTTTGTCAAGTAAATTCTAACAGGGTTTAAATATTCTTGCCTCCTTAATTTTTATATTTTAATTTTTTTTAACTCTAACATTTTATTTTTTTATATACTCTTTTATATTTCAATACCTTACTGTACACTATCCAGAGTCCCTCTTTGAGGGAGATGGAGAGTTCAGAATACTGGACAGCCATTTGTCAGAAATGGCACAGGATCTCCTGCTCGAGCAAAGGGTTGGATGAGAAGACCTCCAAGGTCCCTTCCAACTCATTTTTCAAATAGATAGATGATAGATAGATAGCAATAGCACTTAGACTTATATACCGCTTGACAGTGCTTTATAGCCCTCTCTAAGCGGTTTACAGAGTCAGCATATCTCCCCCAACAATTTGGGTCCTCATTTTACCGACCTCGGAAGGATGGAAGGCTGAGTCAACCTTGAGCCTGGTGAGATTCAAACTGCGAAATTGCAGGCAGCAGGCAATCAGCAGAAGTAGCCTGCAGTACTGCATTCTAACCACTGCACCACCGCGGCTCATAAAATGATAGATAGATAGATAGATAGATAGATAGATAGATAGATAGATAGATAGATAGAACAAACAGAAGCCTTAGTTTAATGGGACAACAAACAGATTGGTTGGCATGGAAAGTTGACTTCTTTTTATTTTGCTAAAGAATGGGAAAAAAAATACTCACTGAAGTTTCTGAATCCCTCACCCATAACTAAACTATTATTAATCAGTCAGTCTTTGAGGTTTGCCAGATAAGCTTGAACTCTGCCTTCTATCCCTGTTCTTCCTTGGCTGTATCTGGGTTGCTTGAAATAAGTCACTTGCTCTTAGTAAATCTTGCCTAATAACGGCAAATATTGGAGATTATTATTATATTAGGGAAGCTTTAGCATATGAATCTGTGTGGTTGAACTGCAGGACGCAAGACTGTCAAGTTTCATCATGAGTGGTCTCTGGAGCCCCCAAATTATGCAGTTAAAATGTGAGTGTTGCTTGATTGAAGGAATCCATAAAGTTAAAAAAATAGAAAGAAAGAAAAATTATCAGACTGAATTTACTGATTCTATCCTTCTGGCTATATCATTATCTCCTGCCTCCTAAGCATGATTGCCAGCAGTTGTCCTGATCAAGCTACATAGCCTCCGACAGAGCTAACAAACCCAGAGGAACAGAAGTAACACAGGTGAACCCCTTCCAATCCATTTAGTTTCATGTTAAAATACTTCCAGCATTGGAAATTATTTCCAGAAGATTGCTTCAAAAAGTACAGATGCAGGAAGAGGCCATAAATGGTTTGAAACCCTGAGGAGATGGGGGTTCTTTTTTCTGTCAGGAAATCTATTACTGAAACTAAACCAAGTGCATAGAATTGGCCCCTGCAGGTTGCCTGCTGCAATATAAGCACAACATTTGTTGGGATTCTGTACTTTTCTGAGGTAAAATTCCAACTGCCCTGACTTTCTGTTTTTAGGCATGACAAGGCTGTAATGAAAAAACATGATTTTGTTAAAAGCACTAGGCCTCTGGGCATGAAAATGGTGGCATGGGCTAAAATTATCATATATACTGCATTGGAAATGTTGGGCCTCCTGAGCTAGAAGCCCTAATGCAGAGTTCTCCAATGTTTCCAACTTTGTGAGCCGGGGGGGGGGGGGGGGGGGGAGGGGGGGGGGTGTTGGGGGGGTGGTTCTGTGTGAGCAGCTGGTAAATGCGCACATGTACAGCTCTACTTGTGTGAGCAACACACGCACATACCTGCCTCTCACTTAAATTGAGCATGTGCATGTGGCTCACTGCTGCTCACGCAAGTGAGGTTGTGCACACGGGTTTGCTGACCATTTTTGTGTCCTGGTTGAATCCCCCTCATGGTCCACTAGTGGGCCATAGTCCATAGGTGCCCTAATGAATGAAATGTTAATTTTCTTGGCATATTTTTCTTTCTTTTCAGTGTAATTAGTGTTCTTTTGTGTAATAATTGTTAAAAGCAGAACATTCCCCCCCCCTTTAATTCTGAAACGTTCAAGTTAGTTTTGGGAACAGCATGAGGACAACTGTCATATTTGCTGTTCTAAGAACTTAAAATGAAATAATTATCCTATGCTGGGTCAAGACATTGATCAATATAAGCTGACTAGTGCAGCTTTATTATGTACGAAATACAATGTCTTCTGCCCTTTTTAGAAATAGCAGAAATGTAACCTTGAAGCTTACATGCAAAGCACACCTTCTACTACTGCACATAAAGGGATGAAAAAATGCAGAACATGACCCATTATCTATAGAGATATCTCACTGGTTTCAATAGTTTTCCATAATGATCCAAAAGATCTCTATGATATGATGGATGGGTGTTATTACAGATACTGCAAAACAGCAGTTTTGGATTCCAGAAATCTTGCAAGAGTCCCTCAATAAGATTTGCAGTGATGAATGTGTTTTCCTTGAAAAGGTAAGTGATCCATAGAATTCTATCACATGAAATCAAAGATAAGAGAATACTGGATGCCGTGTTATGGAGTGCTTGCTATTTCATCGGAGCAAAATTAAACTCTTAGGTGCTTATTCATCTCATCAGTGTCAGACAGGCTATGTAGCAATATGCATGGATTATTTTATAAACCAATTGGGGAAAGTGTTGAATTTCTGAGAGTTTGACAATCTATACTGCAAAAGTTGCCTGAGAAAAATTGGAAGTAATTTACAAACAATTCAACTCATACGCATAAACAGAAAGAGCTTTGTAAATGCTTACATTGAAGCATTCTGTACCTGCAAATTTAGCAAAATGGCACCAATTCGCATGGCTTCACTGAGTTCAAGACTGTACATCTGTTGAGGGAAGCGAGGTGGACTTTGATTGTTAGGAGGAAGTACCTCAATGTAAACTGTAGTGATGGAACTCCTGAAATGACAAACAGAATTCAGTCAAAATCAAATTATAACACTTTCCCTCTATCAAACTCTAAATGTTATAACACGTTAAGCATTCAGGGTGTCTAAACAAAGTGAACAGTCCCAATCCAGCAGCTTCTAATTTGTGTGGTAGTTCTGATAAATAGGTAAAGCTGTTCCCATTCCCATTAAAACGGAGAAGAGCCCTATCTGCACTGAAGGGCCTTAAGAAAATTTTAATTTCCTACCAAGCTTTAAGCTGTAAGTAATAATATGAAAACTATCTCAGTGAGGATTAAAATAATTTGCAGTATGTTCTTAATGATCATAACACTTTCTCAAAAATAAGCCTCTAGAGGTGGTGGGAGGATGCTCAAATAAACATATTTATGAACTCAGTCCTTTGATTAGAACACTTTGATGGAAATATATTTACTTTTATTTTTTAAAAATCAAAACAAGGTAACAAATATTATACTGATTTTTGAAAACTGCTATTAAAAATTGCATCAACAAAAAAAGATTTTTTTAAAAAATCAACTTTCTAATTCAGGCACCAGGAAAAAAGTCTAAGGGTTGTACATACTACAGGACTTTTTGCAACTAATTGGGACTCAGTTGTGAATGAACCTAATTCATAGCTGTTGCAATAAAAGAGGTTTTTGGGACTACTCGTGTGTTTTAATGACTCAGGAAGCCTAGGTCACAACAGTTTGGACTTCCAAGGGTTGCTTACATTTCTTTTATTTTGTTGCATTTTCCTTTTACTTTTATCGGATCTTTCACAGGATAAAGAAACTGAGAATGTTCAGAACTGAAGACGTCTAAATTCTTTCCTCAATGTAAAGACGCCTTTACATGCTTTTGGAAATATGACCAATTCCTTTTTTTAAAATATTTTTTAAAAAATATTTTTGCCAAAAAGAAAGTAGGGTTGCAGAGGAGAAAAACATAGGAAGAAAAGATACAGCTGCTTTTAAGAGTTGCAGAAAGATGTTACCCTTCATGACATTCTCCAAAATGCTTCCAGAAGACCTATTTGACTTCTAGGAGAGTCATCACATTGCCATTGTGTATTGAAAATATGTCCTATGCATTCCACTTGGATAGTGCAGCAGGGATGTGTGAGTCATATTAAATGTTAAAATAATCTGTATTTGTAATTATATATATAACCATGGTATATTTTAAGTTTTGTTCTGTGAAATATATATTGACATTCACACTTGAGGACTTCCCTCCAAGCTATAATCTGTATGCAAAACTAAACCTTTTCTGTTTAACTGCATGCTGTATATTTTTGAATCACTCATTATGTTTCTTCTCCATACTTGGTTTAAGAAAAAAAAAATATCATGCTTTTCTACTCTATGCTTCCCAGCTGTAACATGTCAGAAATTAGGAACTGAATGAGGCTGCTGGTTCCACTGCAGATTTCATTGGAACATATTTGATTCTTTGTCCAGTATTTGCATAGCTTGCAATTTGTGTTCCAAATTAAGTTAAGGGACACCATAAGAATGCATTGCCTGGGGAGAAAAAAAATTATCTTCAGCTCAGTGATCCTTTCAGTTCCAGGATAGTCGGAGATATTACCGTTAAATGATATATGGCAATTTACAGAAGCAGTTGCTATTTGTGCTTTCATTGCTTTAAATTTCTCTCTTCCTTTCTCTCCTTCTCAGTCCCTTAAGCTGACAGTCATTGATATGGGTGAAGCAAAATTAACACACTTGAATCATTGACCTTTAGGCTGACACTTAATAGGCTAAATAAACAAGAGTTGACTTTTTTTTTTTTTAGAAACGTCAAACCATTTTTGATCCACTGAACTTACTGCATAGAGATAAGTATGCGCTGGGTATAATTTCATTTCCTTTGTGATCCAGGTTGAAATGTGCAGAAAGAAAGATTGCAGTCCTAAATATCCTTACCTGGGAGTAATATCCAGTAAATTCAATAGGTTTATTTTCAAGTAGGCAGAAGTATATGCTGTAAGCAACTAAAAAGCAGGAGACCGTGAGTTCAAATCCCACCTTAGCCATGAAAACCAGCTGGAGGCTTTGGACCAGTCATTTTCTGTCAGCCCATCTCACCTCCCAGGGTTATTAGGGAGAAAATAGGAGGAGGAACATATGGTGGATATGTTCACTGCCTTGTGTTATTTGCAGGGGTGGGCTGCTGGGGGTTCGCAGGGGTTCGGGAGAACCTCTAGCTAAGATTCTGTGCAGTTCAGAGAACCCCCAAATCCCACTCCTGGCTGGCCCTGCCCACCCCTCCCCTCCCAGGTGTCCCCCCTCAGCCCGTTTTAGATGCAGGTCAGTGCAGGGCATGCGTGGAGGCCCAGGGCGGGCAAAAAATTGGCCTACTGGAAGTTCAGGAAGGCTGGAAATGGCTGATTTCACTCTCCCGGAGGCTCAAGGAAAGCCTCTGGAGGCCGGGGAGGGCAAAACCCCCCACCGTGATGCAGGAAGCTAACTAGGCCAAACCCATCCAGCAACCGGGCAGAGAACTGTTTGCTAAATTTTTTGAAGCCCATCCCTGGTTATTTGTAGAAATAATAAAGGTGGGTTGCAAATAAATAAATAAATAAATAAATAAATAAATAAATAAATAAATAAATAAATACATACATACATACATACATACATCATACATACATACATACATACATACATACATACATGCATACAACAATTGGTAAAGGAGTAGTACATGTGCTTCTTTCAAAGAAGCCATCTACTACTCCAAAAGGGCTAATATTTGGGATTACTATTCTTTTACAACAGGTCTGGGTATTTTGCAGCATGAGAGGCAGTTTCAGCTTCCACAACCTATTCTGATTGTGTTGTCAAATTTTCATAATATGGTTGCCAAAAAAGAACAGCGAAATTTCTTACCATCTTGAGATGGAAAAATAGAAAAACTGTAGTATAAAATACAACATAGAGTTAACTTTTAAAAATGAAAACCCGAATCATAACCTAGATTGAATAGAAAATTCCATCCCGCTCCATATGTGATGTATCTTCATCTACTTCCATAAATGGTCCCCGCTTGCAGCTTTTCATCCACTTAATAAATCAGTTTCATCGCATCACATCCACTTGGTCAGGCAGAGAAGGTATGTTGTAGACCCCACCAGTTACAGAACTCTGACTGGTGGGGTCTAGAAAGAGAGTTGTGTCTGTTGTTGCCCCCACACTATGGAATATTCTGCCTCCAGAGGTAAGGTGGGCCGCCACTCTCTTGGCCTTCTGAGAAAGAATTAAAACATGGTTCAGTAGCCTTGCATCATCTTCTTGTGCCATATCCGTCATCGGATATTGGCGATCGTGTTGGTGATCCTATTTTTAACAACAGCTGCATGAAAAAGTGCTGTTGAGTTTTGTCCAAACCAGTCCCTTAAATTTTGAAACCATGACCTTCTTCTTCTGCCTGGACCTCATTTGCCTTCAATCTTTCCTTGGAGGGTTAAGTGAAGGATGCCGTATTTTTCTGGGTGCCGTATCACATGTCCCAAATATTCTAACTTTTGCTTTTTTATGGTTTTGATGAATTCGCTTGGCTTTCCCAGGCAGCTTATCACCTTCTCATTTCTGATCTTGTCAACCCAACTTATATGTAACAGTCGTCTGTAAATCCACATTTCAAGTGCTTCTAGTTTCTTCAAGTGGCTTTTTGTCACTCTCCACTCTGTAGAGCAGGACAGAGAGCCTTGCACGGGGAATCCAAAACAACATGTAGTTCAGGGATGGGTTCTACTTACCTTTACTACCGGTTCGCAACGGGAGCACGTGTGTGCAGATTGTCAATTATGAAGTCCGGGCAGGTGGGTGGAACCTCCTGCCCCTTTTACTATTGGTTCTATAGAACTGGACAGAACTGGGAGCAACCAACCATGATGTAGTTGTGGGGTTGGTTGGTGTCATGAGACCCCTCCTTTTGCCATTGTAAACTAATTTTTTAAACAGTGTTTAATTATGTTTGCCTCCTTAATTTTTTTTTAAATAATTTTACAAATTTTAATTCTAAAATGTTAACTTTAACATCTTATTTTTATACATTGTTTTATTATACACCATCCAAACTCCTTCTTTGAGGGAGATGGATAGTTCAGAAATGTGACATATAAATGAATAAAGATAAATAAACAGTAAAATTCCTGGCCACCAAATTATTATTCACCTTGACTTCATACTTCTGCATAGAGTTGAAAACCTAATTTCTCAGCTTAGGTAGCTAAAGGAATAAAGTCAGGTATGACTTACCTTTTCTGTGCCAGTGGAGCCCTGTCAGATGCTTTGACTGTGAGGGCGTAGGATCGACCTACTACCAGTGTAATTGCTGGTGCAATGGTGATAAGGCCTGTCTTATCATTGATTATGAAGTCTCCCTGGTCACCAGCCAAGATTTCATATCTAATCTGTCCATTTGGACCTTCATCTGCATCCATGGCTGTAAGCTGCAGTTGAAAAGAATGAACATTCTAGGTTTACTGTTGTGCCACAATGATATCAGGCCTAAACAATCAGATGTTACTAAATGATATAAAAACTGCAGCCTAGAATATAAACAAATAATATAAAGCAGTGTTTCTCAACCTTGGCCATTTGATGATGGGGAGAATTCAACCCCCAGAATTCTTCAGTCAGCCATGTTGGCTGATGAATTCTGGGAGTTGAAGTCCACCCTTCTTCAAGTAGCCAAGGTTAAGGAACACTGTTATAAGAAAAGCATTAGTTAACCCAGGAGTGTGATTACTGAGTTACAACATTTATTACCATTTTATATTACTATTTTTTTTAAAATCTGGAGGTATTTAAGGCAGCTAAATATTAAAATAAAAGATAGGTAATTAAAAAAAAGTGAAGCAGGTTGAAAAGCTTACTGTACCACATCCCATTTTTCTCTGAAGTGTGCCATTATCCTCATAAGCATTGGAATGGAACGAGTTGAAAGGATGGAGACAATTGCAAAAAATGGATATAACTGAAATAAATATACTATTCGCTGCCACCAGCAGTAATAATTGTCTCAGAGGAACAGGATCCAACTTGGGCCAGTCATTCAGAACTGAATCATCTCAGTGGTTAAATTAATATGCATCGACCTGTTCATCAAATATGTTCACACATGCCCATCTTTTCTTGTTTGAGAGGACAATGATGGGTGGGATTTTTCCCCCCATGGCTTCTGTATGTAAGTTATGCCTGAATGATTAACAGCCACAGGCATGCTGTGGTTTCTATTGAGAATAATTACTTTAAAGATGTAGCTGTAAACTCATTTACTAAGGAGTAAAACCAATTAAGCACAGTAGGACTTCCTTCAAAATAAAAACTCATCTTTTGAATGGCTGACAGCATCAGCTGCAGTCTTAAAGTACTCAACTCAACAAGGTGCCTTTTTCTTGCTAAAACTGTGAAACTATTATTTTAATCATGTAAACATTTCTTTGTCGAACTGTGCATAGTTGCTGATCTGCTAAATTAATGCTATTAATAAAGATTGAAGGCTTCTTTGAAAAGTGTTATAATAGCCTTCTCCAGTTCAGGGGATGCGGTGAAAAAGATAAATCAAAGCCTTTCACAAAAAAAATACCAGTCCTAACCATTTAATTACACGCTAGGAACCAGGCCAAGTTTTATTGTGACAACATGAAAAGGAAAACTGGTAGAATCACAAATACCTAAATTAACGAAGTTAATTAAATTTACAAATGAGCATGCTTTGAAACAGCGAAGTTATCTGAATAACATTTGGAGGGGGCAAAAATGTGTCTGAAAGGGAGCATTAAACTCTTAGAACTGTCATACTGCCCTATGATTCTGAATGTACGAATTGCAGGTGTCTTTAGTAGATAGGCACTGGTTTATATGATCCTGGACATTCCCGATTCTCTAAAAGCAGTTAAAACAAGGATTCTTTCTTCTTCTCTCTGTATATCTCATACAGGAGCGGTAATTTTGTTCCCTAAAAATAAGCAGTAGTCAAAACTTGACAGTGATGGATCTGTTCGCTTACTCCTCAAGGAAAGCCCGATTTGCTTTGTGCAAAAAGAAAGCTCTAGGAAACTTACATTGCATCCTGTCTTTAACAATACTGTGTCTTTTATAGTAATGCCACATTTCATTTGTTACTGTCATTTTTAAACAAAGGTTAGTTCAGCTGGACAGAGCTCTCATTACCAGAGATATTTTTGGCCAAAACATGGAAAAGCTAATAGGATATCTTGACTCTTGTAGTTCAATATCTGTCATGAACTAAAAAGTTCGGGCAAATTGGTCTCATTCCCAAATGCCTAACGTGATTATTTCCTGCTGATATAAATTGAAACTTGCAGTTGTTTTGCTTAGGCAGTTTTGCTTTCCAACTACCACACTTCAATAAGACCATTTCTCAGAGTCATTCGCTATTAGCATATATTTATTTTAGCTGTTTGAATCGTATTGTGAAAATTGTCATGGAACAGCGTGGCTGACACCTTTGGATTAATAAATTATTGGGGTCTGCCATCACAAAATGTACATAGCTCCTACAGATGGGTTCTTCATTTGTTTGTGGTCTCAGCCTTACACTTAATATGGAGCAAGAGATTATTTATTGATCTGCAATATTTATAAACTGCCTCAATTATTCATTCAGACTCCATTCGATGTGGGATGACTATTTTCTCTTGGCCACTACCATTAAGAATGAAGGAAAAAGTAGGGAAAGAAATTTGTATGTACACCATCCAGAGTCCCTCTGTGAGGGAGATGGGTAGTTTCTAAATTTGATAAATAAAAATAAAATAAAATAAAATAAAAATACATGAAAGAAATCTATGAGAAATCTGTGACATCAGGTCTGGATTCTGTTATATACTTAAATGGGAGAACAGAATGAATACAGTGTTAAAAGAATGAGGATGAAGACATATTTTTATGATCATAAGATTAAATATGTGACTATTTTATTAAGCACTTTTCCATTGTTATCAAGAATCAAGGCTTTCTTGGTGCCTCATAAAATTGAAGAACCTCCCAATAAATATCATGTGGAGTCTAAAACAGTCATGGAATTTTAGATAAAAACAACAACATATGAGAACTGGAGAATTTATCCAAGAGTTTTTTTATAAGGTCAAAGCACATTTCTTTAGCAAAGTTATATTTGTAAGAAGCATTATTTCGATGAAACTGTCCATTGTGCAATTAGGACTGAGCATTTGTGTCCACATGGTGTTAAAATGCAGTCTTCCCTGAAAAGTACAGCCAGTCTTTACTCACTTGAGAAGACCACAAGACTGAAGATAATATAAATATTATCTTCAATGTCAGTCAAGCAATGTCGGCTGGCGGCCCCCAGGGGGAGAGCCTTCTCTGTGGGGACACCTGCCCTCTGGAATGAGCTTCCTCCCAGAATACGACTGATCCCGGATCTCTGCACTTTCTGTAAGGCCCTGAAGACGTTTTTATTTCAGCAAGCCGGCCTAGCCTAATTAGGTTTTTATGGGTTAGTTTTTAATTGTATAGCTTTGGGGTTTTAAATTGGGGGCCGATTGATTTAATTTATTTTAGCTATCTTAACTTTTATATTGTATGTATTTTAATTGTGGCTGTTCACCGCCCTGAGTCCCTAGGGGGAGAAGGGTGGTATATAAATTCAAATATAAATAAGTGAAATAAATAAAATAAAAATACAACCAGAAATTGTAAAACTCAATTTTGTGCATTCTGTTTGTCACTAATTTTTTATATACCAATTAGACTTTGAAAACTCAAAGGTGTTTTTTTCAAGAGGCAACTGCACTTTCTTGTTTGTTTTTTTGAAGATGTTTCGCTTCTCATCCAAGATAAGCTTCAGCTCTGACTGGATGGTGGGGAATGGAAAGATTTATACTCCTTGCGGACAGCTGGTCATTTGAATTCTTTTAGAGAGTCATTGAGGCCACTTGGAGGTTTATCTGTGTCCTCAGGATCACCTGACTAGTGCAAATGGGTGTGGAGCCTTCTTGGAATTGCTAAAAGGACTGTGTTGTAGATGATGTCATACCGTCCACCTCTGTTGAGAGAGGCCTCTTCAATTTTGACATAGATGGCCTCTTTGATTCCTCTTTCAAACTAGCGGTCCTCTCTGTCCAAAATGTAGACAGCAGTTCCAGCTGTCTGCAAGGAATATAAATCCTTCAATTCCTCACCATCCAGTCAGAGCTGAAGAAGATTCTTGGATGAGAAGTGAAATGTCTTCAAAGAAAAACAAGAAAGTCCAGTTGCCTCTTGAAAAAGCACCTTTGGGACAACCATGACCTGGATGACTGAAAATCTCCATAGACAATATGAAATTTATGATATTATGATGATGTCGTATCCCTTCCCCTCTGTTGAAAGAAGGCTATTCAATAGATGACCTCTTTCAAACCAGCGGTTCTCTCTGTCCAAAATGTGGACAGCAGTTCCAGCTGTCTGCAAAGAATATAAATCCTTCCATTCTCCACCATCCAGTCAGAGCTGAAGAAGCTTCTTGGATAAGTCTTCAAAGAAAAACAAGAAAGTCCAGTTGCCTCTTGAAAAAAAACACCTTTGAGACAACCATGACCTGAATGACTAAGAATCTCCATTGACATTTAGACTTTGAAAACTTTGTGTCAGATCATTTTTTTTAAAAAATGAAGAGAACACTATGCATATTTTACGGCTGTCTGAAGTATGTGAAGACTGTGTGAAATCCAGGCCATTGCTATGAAGCAATATGTGTATTCTGAAAACACTTGGATATACATTATTTGTGACAGCTGACAACCTTTGTCAAAATCTTGGGAGAAATCCCAAGTGTTTTTTTTTATATATTCATTTGATTTATATCTCACATTTCTACTGTAGCAATTATTCAAGATAGCTCAAACAATGTGACATCGTGTTAGACTAGGTCTAGCTAACTTTCAAGCTGAAACAAAACGACAAGAACAAAAACAACAAAACCAAACTCAATAATCTAATTTCTTCTGAATCAAATGTTCTAAAACATATGAGGCTAGGATGCAATGCAGTTGTGACCCGCTTAATATCAATAAAATTAACCCCGTTATCCATTTTGGCATCTAGGACTTTGATTTTAATTTCCATTTATTATCTTCTGCAGATTCTTCCATCCTAGAACATGCATTTCATTTAATTTTCAATTGTCTACATTTCATGAATGTAGACAGCTACAAAAATACAGACTGTTAAGGAAGAAAAATAACACATGGACACATACAGAGAAAATTCAGGTGATTATTTAATACAGTGGTATCCTGGTACTCAATGGCTTTGAAACTCATTGAATTTGGTACTCAACACATTTTGACATGAAAATTTTGTTCCGGTTCTCATAATTTATTTCATGCTCAACACATAAGCTAGAACTTGTTGGTATTGGCTGCCTTGTTACTCACTACATTACTACTCATAATTTGTTTGGTACTAATTGTTTTTGGTACTCATTGCACTTCCCGGAACCAATTAACAATGAGTACTGAGGTACTAATGTAGTGCAGTTATATACCAATCTTCTCAAACTTAATCTCTATTTTCCATTGGCAGGGTTAGAAAATTCCTTTATAATAGAAGGAACCATGACCCAGATTTAAAATATTTTTCTTTCTAATTAGGACCTATGCTCATTTTACTGAAAAAGAGAAATGTAGGCAAAGAAGAGATTAGTTGGAAAGGCCAGACATGTACCAAGAAATAGCAGGCAAAATAATAGATCAGGAATAAAATACAGAAGTTGTGGATAGACCATAGCATTTATTTTTATTGTTTATTTTCAAAACCATGAAATTATTTCAACTTCTATTCCTATAGAAGCTGTACTGTACAAGAGACGCTAAAGAAAAAATAATTCCCATAACCAGAAGACTTAAGGGAAAAAACCCCTAAAAGGAAAAACTATTTAATGAACTATAAAATTCATTATTAGAGTTCTGAAAATTATGGTTAATATATCATTGAGAAAGGCAGAGACCTAGAGTTCAATTGGCTGTAGCCAGTCAATTAATGAAGAAATCAAACCCGTATAATAGATCCTTTCATGGTCATTCTTTCATTCAGAGAAATAAGTAGCTAACAGTTTTCATCAGTCTCGAAATCCAAATATGTTCTATTTTAATTACACAAAGAAAGGATTTTAAGGGCAGTCAGGTCTGAATTAGGGAAAAGCAATAACTATCTAGAGAATCAGCCTTGAAAGTGCTTGGATTATCTCTTTAAATCTACTTAAGAATCAACATAAATAGTACAAACACTATGAATAGCTGGCAATGCTGGGATGACTCATGCGTTTATTATTAAATGATCTGAAAATTTATCATGGTCAGTCAGCCAATAACGATTATAAACTTTTTAAATATAGAAGGTATTGGTGAATGTAGGGAGGTTATCAGGAGAAAACTATTTGGTCAAGTGTCAGTCCTGAGACATGTAGATTTAAAAAGGACATATGTCCCATAATCCTTTGATGTCTCTTTTTCTATTTATCAGAAAAATCTTTGAAATGACAAAACCTGGTTGAAATAATTTTGTATTTGTATTTGTTTTTATTTTTCCCCTCTAGGTACCTTTTAGCTGCATATTGTTGCCCTCAAAACAAACCAGTGATTTTCTGTAACTCAGAGAACAGCTTTTCAGTATGAAAAATTGATTCAGTCAATTGATTCATTGAACATCAATTCAATCTAGAGGGGTAAATTTAAATACTACATTAAAGTTTTGGATTATGGTAGTTCATCAAGACAGCTATACATTACTATTTCTCTCTCTCTTTTTTTTTTTTACAGATTTTTTCTCATTCAAGGCAAATATAAATTGGTAACATCTTTATCTTAATGCCCTCAGTTTTTAGTAACTTGGGTTTTGTTAACAGCATTTCAAAATATGACACCAAACTTGCTCTCTTATATAGGCATCCTCCTATTTTCTCTTGTATGTGATACTTGAAGTTGTTTCATAATTGGAAGAATCTTTCTTTCTCTATTAAAAATACTAAAAGAAAATAAATCAGAATAGTGTTTTCCTACAAAAAAAATCTTAAAACATAAAATATTAAGGTAGAAGTCATTCAAAAATAGATGTGCAAGATTTAATTTTCAACCAATCTATAATCTAGTTATGTCTCAGCTTCTACCTTCCTTTATTATAAAACTTATTAACACTATATCTTGAATAGATATAATTTTAATATATTAATATAATTATAATTAATGTAATTTTCTTGAGTGTTATAACTTATTAATACTGTACCCTGGAAGTGTCAAGACACTGCATGATCTTCCTAGCTGGAGAGACATAGGAAACAGTTAGTATGCAAAGCAGTCTTTCCAACTAGTCAGCTTAGTTGCACAAAAATAGAATTCCGCATGCTCAGGGTCAAAATAGGCTCTGGTTATCCCTGTGGAATTTTAAGCAAAATGTGCCAAAACTTACCAATATTATATTCTTACCACCAGCAAGAATGCTTCCTATGGCATGGATGCAACTAAGGACAGTCAATTTATTACTTTTGTAGCTTAATATTAGGAACCTTGGTGGTACAGCGGACTAAAGTGCTGTTAAGTAGCACTTTGCTGCCAGCTGCCTGCAATTACTACAAGTTCAAATCTCACCAGGCTCAAGGTTGTCTCAGCCTTCCATCCTTCCGAGGTAGGTAAAATGAAGACCCGGATTGTGGGGGCAATAAGCTGACTTTGTATAAAAAAGAACACCGCTTATGGGGGGTAGGGCGAAAGCAGTGGTGGGATTCAGCCAGTTCGCTGAGAACCGGTTGTTAACTTTCTGAGCAGTTTGATGAACTGGTTGTTGGAAGAAATCATGAGGGCAGAGAACCGGTTGTTAAATTACTTGAATCCCACCACTGGCCGAAAGCCCTATTAAACAGGTATATACAAAAGTATGAAGCAGGTATATACAAAAGTATGCTTAACGCATTGTAAGCCGGCCTGATCTCCGGAGAAGGGTGGCATATAAATCGAATCAATCAATCAATCAATCAATCAATCAATCAATCAATCAATATAACGATTGACCAAGCTGTGATGGCATTAGATATCAAAGTAATAGGAAACATTGAAAGTAGAAATTTAAAAGAATTATATAATTATATACTAATTATATCATACACACACTCCCCCAAGGAAACATAGTTATAGATAAATGTATAAGGAATGACATTAGAGAAACATTAATTGGGGATAGCTGCCATTTTCACCAATTCTCAAGAATGCTACTAGGAAGAAACCAACGGTTCCTGGTTCTTTGGAACCAATCCTATTTATTTGACTTTCTTAAATGAACTGGAAAAAAAAGGGATTCTGAAGTAAAGGTACTACAGTTACTTAGAATTCAATACTCTTGCCTTTTACCCTTTTAATAAATTTTGTTAAGGAAGATTCGGAAATAATCTTGTTTTAGTTGCATTCAACTAGCAAAGCCTTTTAGACAGGGTAAATGCAGTGAATAGATGCAAGTTATATAAAAAAGACAAAGCACAGAGGAAATAGATGAATTAGTGGAGATTGATAGAATGTTTGGGGAAGAGATGAAAATGAATGGATATATTTTAAGACTAAATGCTGGTAGAAAAAAGTAGACAATAATTGGTCTTTTCAAAGGAAAGAGTGAAAGAAATGATTATTTTAAAAAAAAATTAAGGGGGAAAGAGTGAATAGTTTGAGAGGAAACATTAAGTTTAATGGTTGGATATAGTTGACAAATTCAACAAAATGAGGTAATTTGAAGAAGAAAAATTGGTATATGAATCTAGGGAAGCAATGGTGATTTAAAAAGATATTTAGAGGTATTATGAATGATATTGGTGTAATCTAAATCTACTTTTCTTTTTCTTTTCCTAGTTTTCATTTCTTTTGCTGTTTCTTATTTTTTCCTTCTTGTATAACCTTGTTTAACATTCAGACCTATACAGGGAATGTGGCAATTATTTTGATAATATTACAATTGTGATTTGAAACAGCCGATATTCTAGACCAAATGAAATTTCTCTGTAAATTATTATTCCTTTCAGCAACAGCAAGAAACACACACCTTTTCTCACATTGCTTCCTAGGCTTGCCCTAGCAATTACATAGCAGCCTTTATTCTTCATCCACAGATAATATTATATTTCTTTTCCATTCAAGGCCAAAAAGTAACCTTTTTAATATATTTTTTATATTGGTCAGTTACCTAAATAACCCTAATAATGTTTGCAATGGAATATTTTTTTCAACTTGTTGGAGAAGCTTAACAGCGAAGGAGCAATTAGTTTGTCTGTCATTAAACATGAGTCTATTTGATTAGCAATCATGTCCTATTTTAAGTGTATCTATAGGGGTACAGCTTTTTAGAAGATTTTAGCAAGTAGCTAAGAACAGTTTAATTCCTCCTACGCAAACTTATTTTCATTTTTAAAATTATGTTTTATTAAAGTACTTTTGCAGAACAGAACATGTAAAGAAAAAAAGAAAAGTTGTGGGAAAAGAACAAAGAAATTAAAAAAGGAGAAAAATAGGGGGGGAAATAAAAAAAATGAGAAAAGACAGACTATAAAGAAATGATTTCCGATCTTTATAGCAATAATAAATGCATTTAAATTTTATGCTCTCTTTCTAAGATTATATCATAACTCCCTTTGTTCCATTACACAAATTTATTTTCAAATGACTTATTATTTTTAGGAAAAAATTGGCTGAAAATGCAGACAAAAGAAACTGTTTTATTACCTTGATAACGCTTTCTCCAGGCCTCATGTCTGTATAGATCTTCACATTATATGATATGTTTGAGAAGGTTGGAGAATTATCATTTGCATCAAGCACAAAAATATTGATTGTGACTGGAAAACTTTCTTGTACCCCATCAGAAGCTGTAATCTTCAGAATAAACAGACGTAAAGAAATAGTTGTGATATAATGTATATAAAAAGTTCTGCTGCTTGTTATTACTAATTACTAACTCACTAGTTTGAACACTTAAGAAACCAATTCCTTTGAAGCAACCTCTAAGCATGTATTTCAAATGCATAAAATACATTTCACACATAACTGCATCTAAAAAAAAAATCATTGGCATTTAACAAAGTTATTTGAAATTAAAATTATTATTTTATGATATTCTTTATAGATCCCATTATGGATCGTATATGTTTAATTCCCATTTCAAATGACTCATTTTAGATCTGATTGATTTTAATAGCATTAAGTTTGTTCTCATTTAGTCTGGAATTAAACTATATTTTTGGTTCATATTCAACTGAATTTACAAACAAAGTTATTTATCTATATCTATAGGGATCCATGGGTAGTTTTAGATTAGCACAATTTTTCCTGTCTAATGTGTAAAAATGTGTCTCTGCAGAAAAATAATTCTAACAAATTTCAAATGATTAATTATCATGTAGATAAAGTATTCTAAGGTGAGGATCAACATTTTGTTACTTTTTTATCCAAGGAAAATACTTTCATTATATTTTTCTTCTTCCAAAGATTGCAGTAACATAGATTTGTATATACTTTTTATTACTGTCATTACCCTGCAAATTAAATAGTTTTCTTTCTAAAAAAAAATAAAACAAAGAGCATAGCACGCTACAACATTATCAACATTATTATACAACATTATTAAAACACAAACATTATCTGGAAATACAATAAGATACCTAGTCTAGAATGTTTTCAAGACATTGATAAAAGGCACATAACTATTTATTTGTTTGCTTTTGTATCCAACCTTTATAACCAAATAACTCGAGGATTCAAACATATCCACCTACCTTCTCCTACAACCAAAACACTATGAGGTGGGTTAGACTGAGAGTGATTGGCTTAAAAGTGATCTAGCTGATATTCATGTCTAAGGCAGGACTCACAATCTCCTGCTTTCTTGCTTTCTAGATCAAACTGGCAGGAAATTAACCTATGTAAGATGTTTTAATAACGATTAGCAATTCTTTTCAACAAACATGGACAATTTAAAATAAAATACTGCAAATTAAAGTAAAAATACTTTAAACATAAAGTAGTTATCAGGAATGTTAATTTCAATGAGTTGGATGGATCAAGGGAATTTGAAGAAGCCAAATAGTTTCATGTCTTGTTTATAAATGTTGCAATTCCTGTGGTCATGCAATTACCATTTGGGCATGTTGCAACTGAAGTATATGTGATTGCTATTTGTGTACTACCCAATTAGCTTGTGACAAGAAGAATTAATGGAGAATGCAGGAAAAAAAAACATGTAAGTCGCGATTATGCAATGTTTTTCTTAACAACTGCAGAGAAAATGACCAAGAGGGAAGTGATGCCATAAATCCATTCTGGTGACATGATTTGCAGATCCCAATTGTGGTCTCTAAGTGAGGACTACCTTTACTGGTGAGTTGTTGCATCTTATTCAAGAGGCATTTAGAAAAACTGAGTGCAGTTGAGTGAACTTTCTCTTTGCCCTTAATCCTAGTCGCCAACCATTTTTAATCAAAAAGTTTTGCTTCCTGCAAAATATTTGGTGATTATGATAGATCCCTTCAAATGGAACACGAATATAATTTCAGAATGATTGTATCATATAGGAATCTTGAAAAATATGAAATTAACTTCTAATGACTATAATGTACTTAACAGCATAAAGTTCTGACACACTGCACAAGTTCAACAGGGTTAAAAGTGATTTTCACTTGCATTCAGGGTTGAATGCATCTCACTGCAGTGTCCAACAATAGCCAGCCAGCACTGATGGATTCCAGTTACCCTGATACTATTTTTCCATTGTGGCAACGTCCACCATTTATCATTGACTGTAGCTAAATTATTGGGAAGGAAAGTCCAAGTATGAATGCAGAAAATGAATCTTCAATGACATGTTGCACTTCATGGTCTTGTATGCTGTAACAAGTTTGTCAACCAGCTGAATGTAGTTTGGTGTTCTGTTGTTGCCAAGAAAAATTTCAAGAACATCCTTGAATGCTTTCCAGGTGATTTTCTCTGGCTCCACTAACAGATCTTCGAACCACTTGTCATTGATGATGTATCTATTCTGTGGACCAACAAAAATGCTTTCCTTAATCTTGGCATGAGTTATTCTTGGAAACAGCAATCTCAAATAATGAAAGTCTTCATTTTCCTTTTTCACCACTTTCACAAAAAAATAAAAAATCATCATTCTGAATTTTATGTGAAGTGGAGCCAAAAAATATTTTTGTCGGATCAACAAGTGGTTTATGTGCCATATTTTTCTGACCTGGAACCAAATTCTTTCAGAGTGGCTACTCCTGTTTTAATCTATTCTGAGTCTCTTGCATGGGTGAACTATTTACACATGTAACACCATTACTTAGTATAACTGAGCTGCATTCCAAGCAGCAGAGCCATTACTTTTAGATCTCCATGATATTCCAAGTTGTATTTGGTGTACTGAATGTGCTTCAACAACATCTCCATGTTTTTGTATATTTCTTTCATGTTCACAACATAGCCAACACTGTCACTGTGTAAAAACAGAAGACTTCTATAAAACGGTATGTGCTTATTTTCGTGATTTGCAGTCAAAAATCTATAAGATACACCCAGTAGCCACACTCTGAAGTGTTCCAGTATTTCTTACAACTTTTCAAGAAATGCTAGGTTTTAGAGGAATACAGTTTGAAAAACCTTGGTCTGAAGTATGAGGGCTGCATTCAGTAAATGACCAGAAAATTCCTGGAGAAAAGCCATGTATCACTTGTGCAAGGGCAACATTTAATCAATTGCCATGAGCTAAGATTAGAAATGATGGTTTAAATGAAAGGTAGATAGATTTCACTGCAGAGTTTCAAGTAGAATTTGGACAGCTATCTGTTGGCAATCCTGTGGTCCTATTTTTTGTTTGTTTTTAGTTTTGTTCTGATATTATTCAAGCCTAAACTTAACTCTAATCTACCTTTCCAACTGTATGGCTGAATGTAAACACTTTACCAGATCAACTAGAGACCCATCAGCTAAATTTATATAACTACATAGTTTTGTAAGTTTTAACTTTACTTAGAGTGTTGCTATTTAATATGTGGTGCAAGGCCTGATCATTTTATTGTTTTATGTTGCATAGCTTGTTCAATTCTATGACATTCTAACAGTTTTCTTAAGATCTTTGCCAAATTAAATTTCAATTGTTTAGCTTTTGCAATAGTTGAAAAGATTACCAGTGCCATTCTAACAAAACTCTTAAAATCCCCATTGCTTACCGAAAATGTGTATAGCTGCTGAAATTCTCTGTCAACTGGCTGAAGTAAGGTGAGATAGCGGGCTATTCCAGTCTGAGTCACAGTGAAAAATGTATTGTAGTCATTTAGGAACAGGTGGAGCAGTGGGTCCTTTGTCTTCAAAGTAAAACAAGATGATGATTACATTCTCAAAGGGATAATAAATAACTATAACTATATACATACATACATACATACATACATACATACATACATACATACATACATACATATATATATATATATATATATATATATATATATATATATATATTGTAATCAACATAAATTGCTGGAATAGCAATTTCTCTCTTGAATTGGAGGGAGATATTGGAAAATAAAATCCTATTCCCAGTTCACTGCTTTTAACCAAAATATGAGAGACAAACCTTTATTATTTTCTTCAGTAACTAACACTGATCATAACAGGTTTAGTACAATTTGGTAATTAACAATTATTTCTAGAACAAACCTAAAAAGCAAGGGGAGGTTGAAAACCTTTGCCATCTGCTATATGAACAGAAACATTAGACTATAGTAAAATACCTGCTTGATTTATTGACAATATATTCACTACAAAAGCCAATTGTGAACAACCTGAATTTTAATGCAACAATGAAAAGAAGGATAATTTCTGATTCAAAATGACCAGCTTTTATTGAAGGTCTTGAGAAAATTGCCAGCAATGCAGTTGGAAAGCACAGTAGCTTTGAAATTTTGGCAATTGGTTTGGAGTTGGATTTTGCAATAAATAACAAAAAGATTGTGATGTTAATTTGTATGGCTATGAATGATCTTTTTTAAAAAAAACCAAAAAGGGACCATATCATCTGGAGATACAAAGTACAAGAATGACAGTGATGGACCCCTCCAGTTTAATTCATATGATTTTCTTGTATATGAACAATCGCTACGGAATTGTTAAAAATATTGAAAAAACAATCAACCTGACAAATTGCCTTCAGTGTAGCATAGCTTGACAATCCATACTTTAACATTATAATCAAAGATGATGAGACACAAAAGAATTAAAAATAAGCAAGTCAAACACCCTGCAGAAATAGTATATTTTTTTCTCTTCATTCCTGAATTTCATTCTTGACCTGATTTGTTCCAATTCTGTGCAGAATAGTTAACTCTACACCTCTGAATAAGTAACACAACCCTGTGCACCACAGAAATAGCAAGGGACAGTACTCCTGAGGTTAAATAGTATTTTCCCAGATAAAGGATACTAACAGAAAACCATTGGGCTTCAAGGCAGTACAGAGAAATAAAGGACTGATTTAATACCATAAATTTTCAGACCAAGAGGCACAATATTGAGACTTCCTCTTTTCCAAAAATATTGCAATGATTTTTTTCTCTCTCTTCATGTAATCATATTTAATAATGGAATATTTTTACAATATTATTGTGAAGATGTTTAGCATGTCAGCTCATCTATTGATTAACTTGAAAGTTGAGGTTTTTGAATGATCTGAAAAGAAATAATCCTTGATTTATACACATTTAGCATTTAGCAAGCATTTGAAGTTACAATGGCACTGCAAAGAGTGACTTATAAACAGTCCTCATACTTAGAACCATTGCAGCTTCCCATATGGTCACATGATCGAAATTGAGGTGGTGTGGCAAATGACATGTATTTACAATGGTTGCAGCATCCTAGATCATAAAAGTGATTGTCATTTGTGACCTACCCAACAAGCAAAGCCAATAGAGTTGGATTCATGTAATGACTGCATGATTTATTAAACAACTCCAGTGATTTGCTTTGCAGAAAAGGTAGCAAAATTGGGTGCAACTCACTTAACAACCACCTTGCAACAGAAATTGTGGTCCCAATTGTGGGTCATAAGTCAAGGACTACCTGTAATAGTGATTGCTATTAAATCTGAGTTGTAAAACCTTTCACTATCACTATAAAGGCAGAATATATACACACACATATATATATATACATACAGGTGAAACTCGAAAAATTAGAATATTATGCAAACATTCATTTATTTCAGTAATGCAACTTAAAAGGTGAAACTAATATATGAGATAGACTCATTACATGCAAAGCAAGATAGTTCAAGCCTTGATTTGTCATAATTTTGATGATTGTGGCTTACAGCTCATGAAAACCCCAAATTCACAATCTCAGAAAATTAGAATATTATATGAAATCAATAAAACAAGGATTGTACATAGAACAATATTGGACCTCTGAAAAGTATAAGCATGCATATGTACTCAGTACTTGGTTTGGGTCCCTTTTGCATCAATTACTGCCTCAATGCGGCGTGACATGGATGCTATCAGCCTGTGGCACTGCTGAGGTGTTATGGAAGATCAGGATGCTTCAATAGCGGCCTTCAGCTCTTCTGCATTGTTCGGTCTCATGTCTCTCATCTTTCTCTTGGCAATGCCCCATAGATTCTCTATGGGGTTCAGGTCAGGCGAGTTTGCTGGCCAATCAAGCACAGTAATCCCATGGTCGTTGAACCAGGTTTTGGTACTTTTGGCAGTGTGGGCAGGTGCCAAGTCCTGCTGGAAAATGAAGTCAGCATCCCCATAAAGCTCGTCTGCGGAAGGAAGCATGAAGTGCTCCAAAATCTCCTGGTAGACGGCTGCGTTGACCCTGGACTTAATGAAGCACAGTGGACCAACACCAGCAGATGACATGGCTCCCCAAATCAACACAGACTGTGGAAACTTCACACTGGACTTCAAGCATCTTGCAGTGTGTGCCTCTCCATTCTTCCTCCAGACTCTGGGTCCTTGGTTTCCAAATGAGATGCAAAAGTTGCTCTCATCAGAAAAGAGGACTTTGGACCACTGAGCAACAGACCAGTTCTTTTTTTCTTTAGCCCAGGTAAGATGCTTCTGACGTTGTTTGTTGTTCAGGAGCGGCTTGACGAAGAATACAACATTTGAAGCCCATGTCCAGGATCCGTCTGTGTGTGGTGGCTCTTGATGCACTGACTCCAGCCTCAGTCCACTCCTTGTGAAAGTCCCCAACATTTTTGAATGGCCTTTTCCTGACAATCCTCTCCAGGCTGCGGTAATCCCTGCTGCTTGTGCACCTTCTTCTTCCACACTTTTCCCCTCCGCATAACTTTCTATTAATGTGCTTTGATACATCACTTTGGGAATATCTTTGGTTAATCGGGTTTTCTCCCGCGTAAAATTGGAAGTGTCTTGGCGACGTTTCGACAAAGTCTCATTCGTCATCTTCAGGCCGGTGTTTTCGGCTTCGTAGCACGAAGCCAAATATATATATATAGCGAATATATATATATATATTGCTTTCTTTGTTGCACAGTAGTAATCTGTGTTTTTACAGTGCAGGATTGGTAGCCCTAGTAATACAGACATACAGTATACTTCAGCAGTATAACCACACCACTGCAATCATATGGAAAGAACCAGCAATCAGGGAAAGAACTACATTCTTGATATATTGAGGATTTTTTCCCCCCATTGGCTCTCTTTTAAACATTAATCTTGAGATCAAGCAGTATTGCAGAAAAGACTGCTATATAAAGCATCTCTTCACATAAAGTAGAAGAGATGCTCGAAAGAGTACAGTATTACAAAACAGCCTAATAAAAATATAGCTTAAGTTGAAAAAAAGGTGCGGTGATTCCTGCATTTTGGCGAAATATATGTTTGTCTAAAACTTAGAAACACAGACACAAAGAACAATCAAAAAAAATATTCACTCATGTTTCTACCATTAGTTATAGGGGTAGGTTTTACTGCATTAAGTGGTTCTTGCTCATAAGCATATTAAGTACTGTATACTTAAAGAAAAAATACATTTCTTTAAATTAGTTTTGTTAATTCTATTCTGGTTTTAATTTCTAATTTTAATTTTTAATTTCTGCTTAATTTTTCTTGATAGATGGACAACTATAGAAATTTGTTTAAGACCGTGTTTCCCTGAAAATAAGACCCTGTCTTATATTTTTTGAACCCCAAAATCAGCGTTTGGCCTTATTTTCGGGGAGGTATAATTATTTTGGAGTGCATGGAGCAAGATGGGACTCCTCTTGCTCTCTTACCTGATTTCCAGCTCTATGTTTAAATATTTTTGGCTTATTTTAGATGGGGAGGCTTATTTTAGCGCATGTGCTCAAAAGCCCGATTGGGCTTATTATCAGGGGATGTCTTATTTTCAGGGAAACAGGGTTAAGTAAAATAATAAATAAGAATTAACATGACAAGCTGTAATCAGTTAGTTTGTATTTGTTGTATAGGAAAATGAAAGCTTTCACTTTTCATTTTTGAAAGTAGAGAATAAATTATTGTTTTGAACTTTGAAGACAATAGTAGAAAGGTAGCAAATGAGTAGAGTATCAAATCTAGTTTTAGCTTTGAAACCAAATGATGAAATTTGCTTTAACAATGAGTAGTTTTCAAAGAAAGCACAAAGAATTGTGATAGTTTCAAACACTATTGTATAAAATAGCTTTTGTGTAAAAGAAAATTAATTTAAAAAAAAGCTTCTTTAGGTAAAAGGTAAAAGTAACACAGCAAAAAGAAGGCACACTTAAAATACCTACAGGAATGGCACCTGATGGAATCTAAAAAGCAAAAATAAACAAATAAATAGAATAAGCAGAAGCACTTGCCTCTAAGTAATACATACGACCCAGTAAAATAATATATTGAAATAAGAAAAAAAAAAAGCTGGGTAATCAACTTTCATCATGAGAACTTTTAGACATCTTGGTAAAAAGATTACAACAATGGGTTGAAATGAAACAATTATATCAAATGCTACATTTCTCTTAATAGCTTTCTATTATATGATTGAAGGACTAGGACTCATGATTTTGTTTTTTTCTGATAATGTGCTGCTTTCCCCATTGAATTATTTGTCTGAATTTTAATTTACAACCAAATGCTAGTTCTCAGATAGCTAAAAGAAAGGAAAAAACTCTTAAAAACAGATATACCGTATTTTTTTGAGTATAAGACGTGAAAATTTAGGTGCGTCTTATACACCAAATGTAGCCCCGTCCACCCACTGGTCCCCACCCTTTGGCCTCTGCCTTGCAGCAGTTACCTCCTTGTATCTTATACTCCAAAAAATACAGTAGTGTATTAAGTCATTTTCCCTTATATTATGTATCAGGCGTTTCATTGTTTTTTATTATATTGGGCCTTTTGGTTTATCCAGAATTTATTCTGAAGCTAATTGAGATGAGTTAAAGATGACTGTGGACTTTCAATTATTCATTTCAATTATTGCATCTTAAACAGCATGACTATGAATGTGGGCTGATATTCATTGCGTAAAGTCTCACACATGATCTTCCTTCCTTGCTTGTGAGTGGTACTTGTTTTTAATAAATTAGATCTCACACACTTTGTAAAGAAATCAGCATGTGCTGTATAATGGAGACTTGCTGGATTAGCTAATGTGCTTGAAGAGGCTGTGTAGCATTTAGCATAGCGATTTAGATTTCGAGCAGGGTAGTTACTAACATTTACAAATAATCCACTTTTCTCAAGCCCAGACTGTGATTCCTTTGTCATTGTGAAATTTCAACAGGGAAACCTAATGTCAATAGTATCGAAATTGCAAATTGAATTGATTCCCCAAAGGAAACTGGAAATTCTGAATTAATTTTCTGAACAAACATGAATTGTGAAGTTGGGTAAAATTGATTATTCAAATGGGATTAATGAGTTATATGGATTGGAGAAGCTCTGCATTGCCATAAGAGTGCACATTCTTAAAAAGAAAAAAAAAAGAGGGACCAATTTAGCATACAATTAAAGGAACAAAGGATCTATGTCAGGGGTGGGTTCTACTTACCTTTACTACCAGTTCTCAACGGGATCGCACGTGCACACTCGCTTTGCGGGAATGGGAGTGGGGAGGGAATGGGGATTTTGCAGTATCCTTCCCCTGGAGTGGGGTGGGAATGGAGACTTTGCACTATCCTTCCCCTGCCACACCTCACCAAGCCACACCCACAGAACCAGTAGTAAAAAAAATGGATTTCACCACTGGGCAAGGGATATAAAAATCTCTAGGTTATGTTGCTGAGAATCCACTGGGAAATGTTGATCCATTTGTATTGCTGAATGGATCTGCTGTTAGGGTTGTACACTTTTTTTTTGCTTGTACATTGTTGCTTTATTCTAATGCTATGAGCCTCCCCAGAGTTGATTGGATCTGGGCAGTGCCTAAGTAGAATAGAATAAATAAATGCATTTAATGTAGAGATGCACGATAATCTAAAAAGATATGCGCAAAGCAAAAAACGCAGCCAAGACTGTCTGTAGATCAGTTAGGGATTAAAACATGAGAAGAGTAGCTTTTCTCATTACTGAAAGATAAGATGTATCGTATTTACCAATGGGAAGAGGAGTTCTTCCCCCACCCCGATAATTACCTGGGACTTAAAGAGGTAATCCTGCGTGGCTAAGAAGAATAAAACACACTGTGGGCTTCTGAAAGGCATCAGCGTTTTTGAAGATTAGCTGTGCGTGCTGAATTTTAACAATTTTTTCTAACCCCTAAACTTGATTTCCCTTAATTTTCTTTCCTTCTTTCTTCTATTATCACTTATTCCTCTTTTTCTCCCCTTTGTCTTCTAGTGCAGTTATCCTTCTTCCAGTGGTGAAATTCATTTTTTTTTACTACCGGTTCTGTGGGCGTGGCTTGGTGGGCGTGGTATGGCTTGGTGGACGTGGCAAGGTTAGGTTTAGGGTTAGGGTTGCCACTCTAGGGGAAGGATATTGCAAAATCTCCATTCCCACCCCACTCCAGGGGAAGGATACTGCAAGATCCCCATTCCCTCCCCACCCCCATTCCCGCAAAGCGAGTGTGCGCATGCGATCCTGTTGCGAACCAGTAGTAATATTTTTTTTTTAATTTGATTTATATGCCGCCCTTCTCCGAAGACTCAGGGTGGCTTACAATGTGCTCAGCAATATGTTTACTTCATAACTTTTAAAAGTATAGCAAATTATTATCCTCAGATTATACGCCACGTGTGAAATCATGTTCTATTTTTAATTCACACAAAATTTCAACTTTCTTTTCTCAAAGTAGAAACCATTTCATTTTTCTTTTGAATATTAAAAAGATAATATTGGATGGATATTTGGAGTTACCAAAATGTCTTAGGTTTATCTTCTTTCTGTTAAACTTTTCTTTCCGCATGAATTTGTTTAGTAGCTTGAGGGAGGCCACTGATTGAGGCCAAATTAAAACTAATTGGGGCAGGGGTGAAATCTACTTACCTTCCTTAACGGTTCGGAAGCGCACATGCCGCGCACAAACTTGCACATGCGTAATACCTTCTGCACATGCGCAGAAGGTAAAAAACACATTACTTCCTGGTTAAAACCAGGAAGTAATGACACCCAAGCGGATGGGCGGAGCTTTGCTCCGCCATCGCTACCGGATCGTCGAACCACCGGCCAAGATCGCTACTGGATCAGGTGATCTATTCTGATCAAGGAGCATTTCAGGAGCATGAATTGGGGCCCATAATCCATATTATTTTAATTCCACTGTAGGCGAAAGCTAGTTCAATTGCTGAAACCTCTAGGGAAAATTTAATGTGTTTGGAATACAATGTATTGTGTTTGGAATACATCCTAGACACAAATGATTAACATGAAAAATTTAATAGAAGGATAAATCATTAATAACTGGTTCTCAAACTTCTGAAATATTCAGGGTTTTTTTTTTTTCATGTTACATGCAGCATGGAGAATAAATAGAATTTAACATTTGTAATATCTGTTGCATATCCCCAAAAGCACAAATTGGTAAAATCAAATACAAACCTCTTCAACATCATTATCTAAAGCTATGATCTGCAGTGGAGATGTCAAGTTCTGGTTATCAGAAATAGTTGTACCGACAGGGGAAGATTCTGAAATAAAGCCTTCATATGTTGATTTGGTGAAGAAAGGTTTCTGATTGTTTTCATCTAAAACTTCAATATGCAGATTAGCAAAGGCTGGGAGAGGATGGCCATTGTCTTGTTCAGCCTGCAAAAGCAAAAAGTTAATATGCTATAAATTTCTGCTGTCATTTTTTAAACATTAATTGGTTTTATTTTTGTATTTTAGAGTGGAGATACATTTTACTGACTTGTTTGTGTTTCTTTCTAACTGCAGCTGGATTATATGTAGCAAAGCTAGATGCCAGCAATTCATCACATATTGATGAATTACTAGAAGCAAGTCACAAACTATATAGACTTTTTTTTTTCTAAATGAAAGTCTCTCATTGACTCATAAAAATAAACATTACACCCAGGACAGTCATATTAAAACTGCACTACAAATGTATCACAAAACTGCATGGTTCATTAGGAAATAAGTAGGTAAGTCTGCACACAGGTGAAGGGTTTCTCTGGGGTAATCTGTGGAAGTGAAAATTAAAAAAAGAAAGAAAAGAAAGGCAGGATAAAAAGTCTACTAACTTTTGAAATTTGGTGATTGAAAAAAAAAAAACCCTCCTGAGAATACAATCAACAGCGAATAAAACAAACAAACAGATCATAGAACAAATCAGTTCAGAGTTCTCACTTAATGCATGAGTGATCAGTTTCAAAATGTCATATTTTGGACAAATTATGCAAAGAATTGTCTCTCTTTCGAAATCCATAAGGCTGGGAAAAGTGGAACCAGAAAGAAGAGGATGATTAGCAACAAATAGACTCAGTTATAGTGATTATGTATGCACCATTGGAAGACCTGAAGGATAACATTGGAAAGAGATCTTTCAGGAGAAAAATCTGTGTGGTCACTAACAATCAACAACATTAGGTAACTCAATTTTTGTTCTAAGTTTTATATACTTATGTCCCAAACCTATGCAAAAATGGCTATATTCATCACAAACTCTGATTTTGTGACCACAACTTACAAAAGTTCCATATCTATACAGACAAAAAGGCGCCACAGTTTTGAGAGGAGCTTCTGGTTGCGGGGGGGGGGAAGCATGGCATGCCAGGAGGGGTGGGTTTTCTGGTTGGCTCCACAATTGATATGGCTTTTGGTTAGGACAGGTAGAGGAAAAAGGGCACCGCACTAGGAGGAGACTCTATGGTGGGGGAACCGGACTTCCGGTCGGCTCCAGAATTGAACGGGGGCTTCCAGTTAGGACCTTTGTGGCTCTTTGAGGGTTTAAAGTTGCCGACCCCTGAGTTAGAGAAAATAGGTATTTTCTATTTAATTTAGGCTTAAGGAATTCAGAAAACACACTTTTTACCCCGGAACAAAAACTAATTGATATTTGTTATGCAGTGTAATTTGATGGCACATATACCTCATCAATCAATTGGATAGATTTGTGTGGATGGATATGGATGTTTAAACTTTTTAAAGATGTTGTAATTTAAAAGTTCTCATTCCATTAATTACAAGTGCATTTTAAAAAACAAACACATTTGGCAATAAAGATTATCAGAAGTCAAACAAAACTAAGCATTTCTAAACAAGGGAATTATGTATTTGTTCAACTTTTTCTTTTGTTCATAAGTAAACAACTGATTTTTTTTTCCTGGAAAAGAGTTTTCAAAAATATCAAAGCAATAAAAGCCAGTTGCTTTGTTCTTTAAAACCAGCATTTTTTTTTCTTGGCAGCAAACGAACACCATTGCCTTTGATAATGCATGTACAGATATAAAAGATGCAATTACAGCAAAAGTCCAGAGCTTTAGATGAACTATTATTCTGCCTTTTGCTTCAAAGTGAATGAATAAATCTATTCAGAAGGGATCAGTGTAAGAATTAGAATTTACAAAGAGGATTCTGAATATGAATATTTGGTTCTCCTACATTTTTTCAAGATAACGTATGTCTCAGTTCTATAAATGAGGTATCAATAAAATACATATTTTTGAGGGGCTTTGGAATTGGAAACTTCCCCTCACTTAATTTTGAAACTACTTAATAGAGCACGGGTAGCAATAGCATTTAGGCTTATATATCGTCCTACACAGGGGTCTCCAACCTTGGCAACTTTAAGCCTGGAGGTCTTCAACTCTCAGAATTCCCCAGCCAGCAAAGATGGCTGAGGAATTCTGGCAGTTGAAGTCTGCCAGGCTTAAAGTTGCCAAGGTTGGAGACCCCTGCCCTATAGCACTGAATAGCACTCTCTGGGTGGTTTACAATGTATAAGCATTATTTGCATATTAGCCCCTACAATTTTACAATCTTGGAAAGATGGAAGGCTGAGTCAACCTTGACCCCACCACGATCAAACTCCAGGCTGGGGGTTTGCTTGCAATATTGTACTTTAGCCATTGATTCAGCAAGGATAGGACCAATGCATTTGGCAATTTTGTCCACAGATTAAGCATTCCATGAGATTCCTTGAGATTAATGGCAGCCAGAGAAACCCAGTTCCACCAATAATGTCACTTGGTAATTTTTGGGACTGCTAGAGAGCAAGGGAAAGCATCTCTGCAAAGGACCTGCCAGTGTCAATTATATACTGGACTTTTTCACATTTATTTCCTAGATAAAAATTACCATCTTCCCTATTTGACTTGGTAGGTTTTTTTTTTACTAGATTAAGAAAAGGTCATCATCGTCATCGTCATCATCATCATCATCATCATCATCATCATCATCATCATCATCATCATCTTGGATTAGTAGAATGTCCAAGCCATGTAGAAAACTGATGAAAAGATATAGTATCTGGACAGCTCAAGGTTAGTTTGGCTACCATTGAAGGAATAGAGGAGAGTAGTGAGACAATGATGGTTCTAACTCTGCAAAGAATTCTGACAGATTAGCAGATATCTGAGGACTTTTGAAAGAATATTCTGTTCTTTGGTGGATGATGGGTGGCTGGACATGTTGAATACTGGGAACATCCTAGACAACTTTAAATCCAAAAATGCTATGAGATTCCTGGAAACCTGGCACTCAGACAAATCAGTGACCAATCTACATATAGAGATAAACTGTATTCAAAAGAGACAGGGCTACTACAAAAGAAATGAAAAGAACAGCAGTCTCTCCAGCAGCCAACACCAAGATAAGCAGGGCTTACACCAGAAAAACAATCAAGCAGAAAACAGTACCCTAATCAAGGAACAACCAGCAAGGAAAACCTCACCGCCACCAACACCGGCTGGGCAAGCTACTGTTTAGCAACAGGGAACAACACCTACTACACTAACACTAATGACTACCCTGGTTGGGTAAAGAATTGTTCACAAAGTCAGAGAAAACCAAGGAGTCCAGTAATATATTTGTTAGTTTCCTTCACTATAAACTAATGTTCCAGGCTGTTTGAGCTAATGCAAACTAAGGCTGTCTGAAATATATAAAAAACCTAGTAATTAACTAGCAATTCCTAGTTAATCCTATATGGCAAACATTGCTCATGCTTGAGAGATCAAAAGAAATTCCAAGATGGTAGGTGAAATGGAAACAAAATAATGGCCAATTCCCTTATTTTTCGGACTATAAGATGCACTGGAGTATAAGACGCACCTTAGTTTTTTGGGAGGAAAATAAGAAAAAAGCTGATTCACGGGTGGATTGGCCTCCCAGAATACCCCTAATCAGCTGTTCCCAGAGGTGAACTTTAGCAACAGGTTTGTTGGTTGTGAGCTCTGCGCCTTGCTTTTTTTCTGAAGCTCTGTTTCAGAGGCTTTTTTTCTGAAGCTCTGTTTCAGAGGCTTTTTTTCTGAAGCTCTGTTTCAGAGGCTTTTTTTCTGAAGCTCTGTTTCAGAGGCTTTTTTTCTGAAGCTCTGTTTCAAAGTCTTTGTTTTTTTGAAGCTTCTTTCAGAGACTTTTCTTCTGAAGCTTCATTTCAGAGGCTTTTTTTCTGAAGCTCTGTTTTGGAGGCTTTTTTCTGAAGCTCCGTTTCAGAGGCTTTTTTCACCCTCTGAAACCTCCATTTGAGAGGTTGGGTCGGACTACATTCGGAATATAAGATACACCCAGATTTTCACCCTTTTTTGGGGGGGGGAAAGGTGCATTTTATACTTTGAAAAATACGAGTACTTCATATTATTGACATAATATTGACATTAAAAACTAGACAGTTAGTCCATGTAATCACCAGAAGTTGAACTGAACTCAAGAGAGTTCAGATTTACTATTTTGACTTCAATAGAGACAAATGTTCAGAATAGTTGCTAATGTTTCAAACATCATAAAGTCTCTACTTCTTTCAGGCGGGGTAGCTGAGGTAGCTAGGCGTAAGACAGTCTAAATAAACATATGTTATCTTTCTCTGGCCTTAAGGATTTCCTAAGAACTTTACCTTGATTTTTTCTGAGACATAGCGAAGGTGAAAAATACTTGATTAGTGACTCTGAAAGTAAAGCAGTCTAATCCTGCATTATTCCCAAGGGAATGTGATGTACGTAGTTCTTGCTTAGTAAGTATGCTTTCTAACTCTTGTTAAAGTCTCTGAATGTGCAAAAAAGTTACATTTTAGAGCAAAATATTGACAGGGAGGGAAATGTTTTAATCTCTCTTGGGTGAAAAGATAAAGAACAAACACATTGCAAATGGGAGAGGAGAGGCCTTCTAATGATAACTGCACAAAGGATAATAATGGAGAAGTGTTGATAACCTGTGCTAGAATCATACACGTTAAGCCATAATGTTGCTTGTTGGTTCTGAATTTGGCTCTGATGAAGTATGAATCCAACTATTCATTTAAAAAAAAAAAAAAACCTTACACGTCAGTCTTAGTTGAATTTTTGAAAAAAAAAAACATACACATTGAAGTCTAAACTACATTATTCTGCTGAGATGCATATTGTAAAACATCCATATCTGTACAGGATGATATGACATATCTTTCTAGTATCTTTTAACACTCTTCTGCTAAATGAAGCATTGATGTGCCTAAAGCATGTGGCAATTATTAGTCTTACAGATTGATACCCTTGCTTATTATCCACTCAGCTGCACACTAATCAGAGTAATTTGAATCTAATAATGCCGGTAAAAAAAAATCTATTAATAATATAGCCAGTTATAAAGCTACTAGAATATGACCACAGAGAATTATAATGGATTTTCTAAAAAAAAATTGTATATAGCTATATTACTGCTTATACCAGCACCAACTGTTTCAGTATAAATGAATAGGCCTTTGCCACATTGAATTTGACCATGTAACTATGTAAAAACCATTTGTGTCAATTCCAATTTTGTATTTTAAACATCCAAAGAACTTGTATGCAATGAAAAATGTAAAATAATTTTAAAAACCTGAATAATTGTCATCAAATACTGGTATTTTATTACCAGACATGGGCATGCATGCTAACAAAAGATTAAATAATAACCTTTTAAAGATAAAAACTTAATGGAATGGAATGGAATGGAATGGAATGGAATGGAATGGAATGGAATGGAATAGAATAGAATAGAATAGAATAGAATAGAATAGAATAGAATAGAAACAGTTAACATCCAGTCCATAACAAACACTTGGATAAATAATATTGACATTGATCAACAGATAGGAAAATAAATTTGTCAGTCAAATTGCTATGCATCTTATATATTACACTGCAGAATTTGGCTAAGTTATATCATTCTTGTCAAGCTTTGTTGTTATCTCCAAATAAATGAATTTCCAATTGCCCGATCTTTGAGGAAATTTTTCTCTTTATTGAGCATAACGAACTGATCCTGACTCAATGTGCAGTTAGCACTGAACTTTGCCCCCCCCCAAAAAACCCTCTCTTTCCGGTTCCCAATTCTCTGCGTCTCATTGGCCATCTTCCAAGCCACTCTCTCATCCCATCTCCGTCAGTTCACAGGAATGTCCCCTCTCCCATCCCATCTCCGTGGAGACAGTTCTTCAGGGGAATTAAGTAGATAAAAGTTCAAGCCTCTCCTCTCCTTCCTTCTGACAGCTTGGAAGCCGACAATTCTCTTCACTCAAATAGTTTAAAAACCTATGTGTTATTTTACATCATTGTAAGGTGCCCAGGTTAGTTGCAGAATCGGGAGGTCTTGAAAATGAAATATTAAATTAAAATTAAATCAGGAAAACTCAATGCCGCAAGTAATAATTTAATCCTATCTTTGTAAAATATTTTAAATTCTACATTTCACAAGATGCAGTTGAAGCACAGCTTTAAAAAATTATGACTTAGGTTAAAATTCTGAACCTAGGAGCAAAACTCAGCAGATTTCATCCTGGCTGAGCATAATGTGTAGAACTATTAACCATGATACTCACTGCATGTTAAAAATCTGAAACTGGGTTTGTAGACTGTTCTCCTTAAGTATGAAATAGATAACTTTTCTCCCATTGAGCATTTTAATCAAAATAGTGTTATAATGATGTGGGTTGATTACTTCCATTTTGACTTAAACTAGTGAATTATAAGTCAATATATTTAAGGGACCACACTTCTTTGGAAATATTTCATTATAAGCTTACAGTTTTCCATAGATTCCAATATCTACATAGAAATAAGAAATCAGTGAATTTACCTTAATAACCAAATCAAATTTCTGATGAAAGTCCCTGTTTATCGGCTTTAGAAGGCTGAGTTTAGCAGTGGTAGCATTCATACTGAAATATTGGGAATAATCCTCAGGAGTCCCTAAAAAAAAACCACACAAAAATCACTCTGGAAAACCATAACTTCATTTAAATGATGTTCATATCATTTGTCTACAAAGCAATCAAATTAATTCTGCTGTATTTTTTAAAAAAAGGATGAAATATGTATGTTAGACAATGTGCATACAAGTAATAATGTACCTTGATCGTGTAAATATAGGATGCCTAGTTACCAATATATATAGCAAAATATCTGATCATTAGCTTCTATACTGAGCTATAGAAAAGAGATTTAGAGAAAGATAATTGAATAATAATAACTATTATTATTATTTTGCATTGATAGTGTCCCTCTAGAGCAGGGGTGTCAAACTGATGGCCTGCGGGCCGGATGCATCATGCACAGGCTGTGGCCACCCCAGGTCCGCAAAGGCAAAAGTTGTTGTAATATGTCACGATATGTCATGTGATGCGATCGAGTTTGACACTCATGCTATGAGTATAGAGGTTTGAATCAGGAATCTTTCCCAATCTCACCTGGATATATTATATTGATGTTTTCATGGGAAAAAAATAAATAATTACTCTTTCCACTCCGCTAATTTATTCATCTGCTAGCTACTTTTAATATGGTTATATAAATTTATATTTTATTTATAAATTTATATTTAATTGCTTTAGTCTCATAAAGTGCCCTGCAAGGAGATCTGCTAAGACCATGAATGGACACTTTCTGACTGTTGGGAGGTTGCTGAACTTCTGATGTGACATTTATAGATTTTTTTTCCCCCTGGAATTCTTTCCCTGTCAATCCTTCATAACCAAGGATGGCAATAGCATTTTCTATATCTGGAAGTTGGCACAACAACATAAAAGATTTTATTGGTCTGTGTGCATAACTTTAAAAAATAAAAATAAAGATAACAACTTTAAGTACAAGCAAAGCTAAACATAACATCCATTTGCAATGTAACCACTTGCAATGTTCCTTTGGGAAACACATTTTGATTTTCTTAACAGCACTGCTTTTCAATTGCACAGCCTATTTCTCACAACAAAATAGCACTTACTAGTGTTAACAATTATACCTCTTGCTGTGCTGACAATATGTGCATAGAGAGCATTCATGCACAAAGCAGTTAAATGCTTCTTCCACTGCATGGGCTTGTAAAGCTATTTTCATGGTTGCATTTTGAAACTGGGGTCCTAAATTCAGAATGGTAATTATTGCATGAGGCCGTTTTCTCTTCCCGGATTGAAAAATGATAAACGGAGATGGTTGCAATAACATTGACAAACAACCATTTGACATTATACATAGTTCATGGGATGGCATGTGAAATTATAACCCCGTGCTTGTTTTTAATTAATAAATAACACATCTTCTCATTAATTAATTACAAGATTTACTAGGCACTCACTAACAATTTTGAAGGCCTTCTATATCCCATACAGGTGGGCAAATAAGCCCACATAAATCAAGATGCCGTTATCGAACTGATTGTTAAACTAGCAAAAAGAATCCTATGCATGCACATGGAATATTAAAAGAAGATTACAGAGATAATACAATTAAAAAGGCAATAGAGTCACAGAAAGGTAAAAGAAGAAAGGAGGCAAGAGAGACTACCCCATTTCTCAAAAAATAAGGCATCCCCTGATAATAAACCCAATCCGGCTTTTGAGCACATACGCTAAAATAAGCCTCACCCTGAAAATAAGCCCTCCCCAAAAATATTTAAATGCAGAGCTGGAAATCAGGTAAGATGGCAAAAGCAGCCCACTCTTGCTCCAAGCGCCCCAAAATAATAAGACCTCCCCAAAAATAAGGCCAAGCGCTTATTTCGGGGTTCAAAAAAATATAAGACAGGTCTTATTTTCGGGGAAACATGGTAGAAATGATTGCTCCTGATGCTGTAAAACAGGCACCCAGTATATGTTTCTGGTAGGATTTTGGAGCTACAATATTCAGGAGGTTTCCAAGTAGCCCCTACCATTTACATGTGAAAATATTTGAAAGCACACTTCTGAAAATGCTTTCAGCTCTCTGGATGACACAATATAGGTCAGGGTAGGCAAGCATTGAAGGGCAGAGTTCACCTCTACCTCCAGATGGAAGAGGCCATCTGATGATATGATGACATCAGAGGAAGTGGCTGGGTTGAAATTCTACAACTCAGTTTTAGGGAAGGAGAATTAAGGATAGGAATGGGAATGGAAAGTTTTTTTGAGGCTTTTTTACTTGCGCCTTAATTGTGGAAATCTCAAGGTCAAGTTGTCTTGGTCTAGCAAAATATTGTAAAATAAGAAAAAAAAGGGAGGGGTGAAAATATTAGCTAGGAGAAATTGCTAAAGAAAAAAATAATAATTTTGTGCATCTTATATATAAAAGGTAAAGTCATGTCAGTTGTTTCAGTCTAAAGTCAGTCACGTCTGACTCTCGGGCACGATGCTCATCTCTGTTTCTTGGCTGAGTGAGCCAGTGTTGTCCGAAGACAATTTCTGTGGTCATGTGGTCAGCATGACTATATGCTAAAAGCTGGCAGAACGCTGTTACCTTCCCATTGAAGTGGTATCTACTTACATTTGCATGCTTTCAAACTGCTAGGTGTACAGAAGTTGGGCAAGCAACAGGAGCTCACCCTGTGAGTTTGGGTCTTGAACCCAAGCTGTCAGCTCTCCATCTAAAGCTCAGTGCCTTTAACTGCTGAGCCATCACTCCCCCTGCATCCTATATATAGCTTTTTTAAAATTCTATTTTTGTATACACTAAAAATCTATTATACGGTATAGAACAGTTACACGGATTCAATAATATGGTGAAGCATTGATTGAGGATTGGGCATATTTCATCTGAAATTTAATGGTATTGGAATTGCTCAAGCCATAAGAACAAATCAGCCTGAGTTGTTTTTCTTTTAATTAAAAAAAAATCCCCATTTTATATCTTCTGGTATTTCTCTAACAAACAACAACTATTTCAATTTAGATGAATATCATGGCACATTTAATTTAAACATTTTGATGGTTATTGGTTCATAGATGACCAAGCTGTACTTTATAGTCACATTACGGTCAAAGACTATTATTTACAGATGCAGTTTATTTTATATCTTAAATTTATTTCCATCTGTCTAATTGTTTTCTGCCATCTTCTATCACAGGGGTGTCAAACTCGCAGCCTGTGGGCTGGATGCGTCATGTGCTGGCCACGCCCACAACCAGTTTAGTGAAGGGGGGAAAAGTCACAATATGTCACATGACACCATGCTAGCATGAGTGGGATGTGTGCCCGTGCACTGGCCAGCCACTCATGTGGCTCAGTGGCCAATAGGCCATGGCCCGGTAGTGGGCCGTAGTCCACAGGTTGGGCTTAAGGCATTAGCCTTCCCAAGCAATGATCTCACCTGAGCCTATTTCATCAATGTAAGACTAAAATCTATCTAAGCTTCCCACTCTGAGACATCCCAGACTTATTGAGGTTATTTCCTGGAGTCACAGAGAGGAAAATTGCCTTGGAAATCAGGGGAAAAGAAAGCACCAATGTAGCAATGGATTTGCTTTCATCTTACATAGACTTAGAGCCACAGTAATAAATAGCACTCCTCCACAAACCTGCCTTCCCAAGAAATATAGCTAAGCTTTGGCTGATAGACAAAAAAGAAATTCTAACCTCCCCACTTCCAGAAGAGATAAATAAGGAGTCTGAAAGAAAGAGCTATGTATGGATATTTGAAGGAAAAAAAAATCAGTAAACAGTATTATTTGAAACATTTCCAAAATCATTTTGTAAAAAAAATGACACAAGCTGAGTGTCAAACCCCGGTTTCCCCCTCGGGATTTGCCTTGCTGGGGGGAGGGAAGCTCCTGGTATTAGAGGGGTTGTGAAATTGGTGGCTGCAGCGGCATGCTGAAGAACTGCTGCCGAAGCTACAGTTCAGCTGCATAGTAGGGAGGCAGGGCAGTGCAAGGCAACCGGGATGCCCAACGATCAGCTGTGCGAGGAGGCAAAAGTGTTGGCACAACGGTCAGCTGTGAGGCCTTGCGGAGCAGCTGGCGGGGCCCAAACGGCCATTACAATGCAAAGCTGCCTTCTGGAAGAGGCCTGTGTCGGGGAAGAGCATGGCCTGCCTACATAACCACGCTGGGGGGCAGATGCTCCAGCACTGACTTTACATCCTGACTGCATTTGCTTTTTGGAACTCATTTGCATGCCAGAGTCTGGCTTAATAAACCTAGTTATCAACCACATGAGTGGAGTTATTAATGCTGGGTTAGGTCCGGCGCTCGGACCTCTTGAGAGTGAGAAAGGATGGGCACGTTAAGAACATATCAAAATAGTCCTATGGAGTATCAGAAGCTAGCAACTGATACTGTATACACATAGAGAAAGAAATTTGTTTAATTCTTTTAATAATTTTAAATTTTGTATTGGATGTTTTTTATTCTTGGCTGTTCACCGCCCTGAGTCCAGCAGGAGAAGGGAGGTATAAAAATTTAATAAAATAAATAAATAAATAAAATAGAGAAAGAAAGACTAAACTGCATGCTTTTTATTACAGACTCTACCACTGGAGTTATAAGTTGCATGATCAGGGAACAAAGACTGGGTCCCTGGATAGTTTTTATTAATTACAGTAGATAATAAAGAGCTACTTAGTTAATAAGACAGTTCATATGTTCATTTTAATCTTTCAAATTAATTATGATAGTGGTGAAAACATCAGTCTAGACACCCGGAGATTGTGAATTAAAACAGTGGTTCCTAACCTTCATGGTTGCACCAGGGACCGATTCCATAGAGAGAGGTTTTTCCATGGACCGGAGGGCTGTGGTTTCAGTGCTACCTGCATCCCATGGATTGGGCTTCACCTGTTTGAGGGGCTCAGTTTATGGCATGTCATGGCCCTGTGCTTGTTCATGTACCGGAGGTTGGGGAACCCTGAATTAAAGTCTTGCCTTAGGCATGAAAGCTAATTGGGTGACTTTAAATAATTATGGGGGATATATATATGTGTGTGTGTGTGTGTGTGTGTGTGT